CACGTAAAAGATCCCTTGACAGTTGGAATTCGATATAAGAGCAGGCGATAGTGCCGCTACCCAAGCAAAATTTCTCTCATAGCACACTGTATGGTGTATGCCCGTCTTCATTAGCCCAGTAGGAGCATAAACAGTAGGACGTTAAACCCCATTTCCCCTCATTTCATTTCATTTTGTCTTGTCCACAGGTTTGTCTTATCAGTTTTGTTTTGCGTGTAGTGCCACTGTAACACTGGTATCATTTAATCTTGTGTATCTAGCACTAATTTCTTTCACATTCATTCAATATCAAATCTTTGTTTAAAAATTCATAAAAATCGTTTAAAATGAAAAATCATCTAATTTGTACTTGTGTCCAGTTTAAAGCTGACCATTTAGTTTTGATAATGAGTGTCCTGTTTACAAGCATTTAATTTCTTGATCACTGTTAGAAAATAAACAACCCAATTGATTATTGATGTATTATGATTAATTTTTGAACAATGGTCAGGAAATTAAACGCTTGTAAATTGGACACCCATTATCAAAATTAATCAATCAGCTTTAAACTGGACACAAGTACAAATTAGAATTAATCAGTCAGCTTTAAAACTGGACACAAGTACAAATTAGATGATTTTTCGTGATTTTAAATGATTTTTAAACAAAGATTTGATATTAAAATGAATGTGAAAGAAATTAGTGCTAAATATATAAGATTAAATGATACCCTGGTTACAGTGTGCGATTCTCCTACCTCCACTTACTAATTAAAATGATATAATATAGGGAGAGGGGTCTGCGATGTCACTTCTGTGGAAGCAGACGTTAAAGCACCAGGTAGTAGGGAGAGGGGTTTTACATAGGCTAAGCCTGTTCCCTTATTCTATTCAGATATCTTGAATAAAAATATTATTTAAATAAAAAAAGAAATTCTGAATGTAATATCCATTTACCTAAATATGGGAATAAAATTTAACAATTGTAATTTTTTTACAGATCTGTAGACAATTGTAAAATGGGAAGTTTCGGAGGTCACGCTATCCCAGGATCTTTTTTCTTTGCCATTGGTTTGTGGCAGACTGTACAAGCTATTCGTAGATATTACCGATGTCGAAACAGCAAGGAAAGGTTTAAAAGTTCAACCTGGTACCCTGTTGGTTCCTGTTGTAAGCATTTAACAGAATTTCCTGTGGAACCCTGCGTAAAAGTTGTAATGGGTTTACTCGGCATTATTGTAGAAATAACGCACGCAAAATATGTCAATGGAATTTTTCGCGACCCAATGAATGAGCAACATATGACGATATACCTATTTTTTGGATTGAATGGCGCTTTGGAGATTTTGACCTATTTCAATCTGACCTTCTCTGTGTACGTCAACCATATAAGTTTTGCATCGGCCTATTTCGTGGAATTTGTTTTATTTAAATTTCATCTACACGGTCGGACTGGTGTGGACAATTTGGTACATATATTATTGCTTTATGTGATCTGTGCTTCCATTTTTTCCGTGATCTATATGATGCGATATCCCTCACATATCCTGGCCGCGTTAATGCACGGATTCTGTTTGCTTCTACAAGGAACATGGTTTTGGGAAATAGGATTTGTTTTGTATAATCCAGTACATGGAGCACAAAAATGGCACGAAGACAGCCATGATGATATGATGGTGGCAACTTGTCATTTTGCGTGGCATTTTGGAGCCATATTGCTATCGGTGTTCCTGATTGGTTGGATTATTTCATATTTTAGATCTTTGTCCCGCGAAAGTTTGAATAGAAGTGAAGAGTTAATGCAAAAACTAATTCCGGACGGAAATTGTGGTTACCATGACGATATGTATGTAATAGAAGAAGTAGATGAGAGTGACGGATGAAAGATAATTATTAAAGATGCATTATGTAAGAGCTAAATCTGCATATTGTAGGACTTTCTTTTGGCTTCAGGTGTTAAATTAACTTTTATTTAAACATTTATTCACATGACAAGCCTATAATCAACTTTCTAGACCATCGAATGAACGCAATTTAAAGGTATTTAAACATCCGCCAGATTTAAAAATCATTGCTACCATCATACGATAAATAATCAACGCTACATCTTCTTTCACTCATAAGTTCGCTCAGAATAAAGTAATTTGAATGAAATTTTCAATATATTCATTTTTCGCTATCTATTTTTCAACTATTATAGCAAGAACGTCCAGAGCTGTATCCATATCTTACATAATGCATGGGGGGTTGGGTGGCTGAATGGTTAGCATGTGCGCGCTGTACCATAAAGTCTGTCATTTAGTCAACTGGTGTGGTTTCGAATCCCCCGGTTGTACGTGGCAAGGAGTAGGGTCGCCTGTCCAACCTCGTGGGTTTTCTCCGGGTCCTCCGGTTTCCTCCCACTGCTAAAGACCCCTACGCGCAAGCGAATTATTGAAATAAAATTAAACCATGTGTTAGTCCCAAAATGACCTAGTTTGTGTCGAGTGGACTTAAACCCCATTTCTCTCTCTCTCTCTCTCTCTCTCTCTCTCTCTATTTGTTAAGTTCAGCTCAATTTTTATCAAGGTCGCCTAGTTTCAGTTATAAAATAAAGTCTATATGGTCACAGATATTTTACAATAAATATACGTAAGAAATTGTTTTCAAAATAAATGTCAACATTCATAATTATTTTGATATTTGATGACATCTGTTATTGTTTATATCCATTTTTAATGACATTGAAATTGCCACTATCTGTATTTTATCGTTCTAAACAAAAATAATATATAAAATTTATAATATTTTATTTACATACAATTCCTGTCTGTTATTTGCTTAAAGCTACGTTCTCAGAAAAGTATTTATCGTGTGGTTATTTCCAATAAAAGTATGGCAGTTTTGGTATATATGGAAAATAGAGATATCCAATCTTACTAGAAAAATAATGGATTCCCTGAAAAACACTCATGCAGCACATACAGGACAAAAATGTACGGGTTTCCCTAAACGACATCCCGACGATTAGGAGTGTCTGCGCGCGTGACGTCGAAGGTTGCATGCGGAGAGTGAGCGCTTGATGTACATGTTGATAAACTTTATGAAGAGTTAGACGTACAACACTTTCTGAGATAAAAATCATGGAAAAAGATGCAGGCAGTGGATATTCCGTGAATTTAATTAGACTTCGATATTTGTAATAAATAAAGGCAACATCGTCTTGTGAATTCTCCTCTGACCTCGCACCCGTTGTGTCACGTGACACAAACATGACCTCTTTTGGTCAATTTTTTATAGCCGGCTATTTCCTGACAATTGCAATGTTTTGAGAAGGATTTGAAGCAAAATTATGATAAATTAATTAGTTTGAATATGTTTTTAGTCCAAATATATCATCAAATCACCCAGTTTTTACTCGTGAATGTATCTTTAATATTTATATCTTTAATGAAACAAATTGATGTCATTTTGCAATAAACTTTATTTAGCCTTATTAACAAATTACTTATTTATATAGAAGTCTTATTTGTTATTTGTTTAATTATTAGATTTGAATGCAGCAATAAACTTTATTTAGCCTTCTAATCAAATTACTTACTTTTTTTAAAATTTAGATCTTTATTCAACAAATTGACATTATTTTGCCATTAACTGTATTTAACCTTCGAAAAATATATTTTATTCACATACAAATCTTGTTTATTATTTGTTTACACCAAGAACGAAATGAAATAAAGTTTAACATCCTACTTTTCTCTGACAAGGACAGCTGTCTAGTCATTCAGATGAGACGAAAAACCGAGGTCCCGTGTACACATTGGCGTGCACGTAAAAGATCCCTTGGCAGTTGGAATTCGATAAAAGAGTAGGCTGTAGCACCGCTGCCCGGGCAAAATTTCACTCATAGCACACTGTATGGCATATTTCCGTCTTCATTAGCCCAGTTTAGGAGCAGAACAGTAGGATGTTAAACCCCATTTCATTTCATTTCATTTCCTACTTTTCTGGACCAACTGCCCGAATGAAGACAGACATATGACATGCAATGTGCTATGAGAAGAGTTTTTACTAGACAGCAGTCAAGGGCTCTTGTATTAGGTATTTTCACCAATATTTTATGTTGACTTCAGAATTGTTAGTATAGAATTCGATTGACAATTATCACAATTTTTATCTGGCCCTAAATTGAGATTTGGCAAACATTTTAACTGTGAGATGCAAGAGGCGAAATTGAGTTTCTAAGCACGCTAGAAATCCTGGCTGTAGGCTTCTTGGATTTTCTCCAGGTCCTCCGGTTTCCTCCAACTGCTAAAGACCCATATGCGCAATCAAATTTTTGAAATAAAATTGAACCATATGTTAGTGCCAAAATGACCTAGTTTGTGTTGAGTGGACGTTAAACCCAATTGTACGTGACAAGGAGTAGGGTCACCTGTCCAATCTCGTGTGTTTGTCTGGATCCTCCGGTTTCCTCCTACTGCTCTAGCGAATTATTGAAATAAAATTGAACCATGTGTTAGTCCTGAAATTACCTGGTTTGTGTTGAGTGTACGTAAAACCCCATTTCTCTCTCTCTCTTGATTTTCAGTTGCAGCAAGTTTTTCATCATTCTATCCGTCTGTCGGTGGGTGCAGGGGGTAAATTGTGTCCCAACAAGATTTGTATTAATGTATCCATGCGAGAGAGAGGGGTTGATTGTTTCACCAACCTAATTTAACCTACCAGAGAGACAGGCCTGGAAATAACGGTTTTAGATGTACCTGACAAAATGTCAGGCACTAATGAAATAGAACCTAACATTTTCAACTTAGTGCCGGACATGTATTAATAATATCAATAAAAAAGACAAATCAGTGCCGCACAAAATGACAAGCACCAGAGGTTTTGTGCCTGACAAAATGACAGGCACCAGAGGTTTTGTGCCTGACAAAGCCTGAATCTGTGCCTAACATTGTCTGTGACCGGTGCCTTATTTCCAGGCTTGCTCTCAGACACAGAGAGAGGTTTCACCAACATTACTTGGCCTATCTTTATTTTCAGTTGCAACAAGTTTTAGAGTTTAAACAATATCAACCGTCGGAGGATGTCTGTACAGAATTTGGTATTAAACCCACCATTAGTACAACACAGCTATTTACGTATGTCGTTTATCAATTTTTACATGGTGAAGGGCAGTGGGGATAGACTGGTGTATGCCATTTAGTACATTTTGTGTGGGGAATAGTCATTTAATACATTTTGTGTGGGGAAGCGCAGTGGGGATGGACGGGTGTATGTCATTTAATACATTTTACATTGGGAAGCCCAGTGGGGATGGACGGGTGTATGTCATTTAATACATTTTACGTTGGGAAGCGCAGTGGGGATAGACGGGTGTATGTCATTTAATACATTTTACGTTGGGAAGCGCAGTGGGGATGGACTGGTGTATGTCATTTAATACATTTTACGTTGGGAAGCGCAGTGGGGATGGACTGGTGTATGTCATTTAATACATTTTGTGTGGGGAAGCGCAGTGGGGATGGACTGGTGTATGTCATTTAATACATTTTACGTTGGGAAGCGCAGTGGGGATGGACGGGTGTATGTCATTTAATACATTTTACGTTGGGAAGCAAGCGCAGTGGGGATGGACTGGTGTATGTCATTTAATACATTTTGTGTGGGGAATAGTCATGTGGGGTTGACTGGCGTATGTCTTTTAATACATTTTATGTGGGGAAGGGCAGTGGGAATAGTCATGTGGGATGGACTGATGTATGTCATTTAATACATTTTGTGTGGGGAATAGTCATGTGGGATGGACTGGTGTATGTCATTTAATACAGTTTATGTGGCGAAGAGAGTAAAGGGAAGTATAAAATAATAATAAGACATTTATATAGACCTAATTAATGGTCCTAAAATGACCTTGTTTGTGTCGAGTGGAGCAAACCCCATCTCTCTCTCTCTCTCTCTCTCTCTCTCTCTTGTCATGTCGGCAGGTTCGTCATGTCCAGCTTTGTCATGTCCACAGGTTATACTTATTATATCTAGATGATGAATTTTGTTTCAGATTATCCGGGTTTATCTCCAAGTGTGAACATGGTCAGGGACGGAGTAGCACAGATAGACAGTTTATTTTTATTAATAAAAGACCATGTGACTCTTCTAAGGTTAATTTATTTACATGTACCTTCATTCTCGAAACACGGGGATTGGTGACTGAATAGTTCAATGTGCGTACTTTAGATCATAAGGTCTGTCATTGATCCAAAGCTTGTATGTGACAAGGAGCAGAGTTGTCGGTCCAACCTCAGTTTTCTTTGGTTCCTCCGGTTTCCTTCCACTGTTAGATCCCCCTTGGCGCAGGCGAATTATTGAAATAAAATTTACCATATGTTAGTCTCGAAATGACCTGGTTTGTGTTGAGATGATGTTAAACACAATTTTTCTCTGAAGACAGGCATACGCCATACATTGTGTTTTGAGGGAACTTTTACCTGGGCAGCGGCACTACTAGAAATCTTTTATACTCATGCTAATGTGTACACGAGACATGAGTTTTCCGTCCCATCCGAAATGACTAGACCGCTGTCCTTGTCCTGCACCACTGACAAGGGGAAACTACGTCGGAAAACCCTTATGAACTTTCTCGGCCAATGCATGGATCGAAAACGCAACTTTCAGACAGAAAACCAAGCATCTTACTGCACCCCATGGAGCAGAATGAAAGGATGTTAAACCTCATTTGTTTAATGTAAACTGTTGTTTATTTTTTTAAGATAATAAAAGTTGTAAATGAAGTTTACCATATGTATAACAGACACCAGTATCCATTCCTTGTTTTAAATATCAACATGGACAAAAGTAAGTCTCATATTCTTACAAGGGGTTTGGACCATAAGGTCTGTCATTCAGTCAAGTGGCGTAGTTTCGATTCCGCACTTGTACGTGACAAGGTCTCGGGTCACCTGTCCAATCTTGTGGGTTTTTGCCCTCTCTCTCTCTCTCTCTCTCTCTCTCTCTCTCATTGTGTCAATTTAGTGCAATATGAGTCCCTTGCAAACTACAATACTGTTTAGTATTTTACAAAGATTGAAATTTCATGTTTCTATGCTGCCATTTTGTTGCCTGCAAACAGCATTTATAGGCCTGTTTTGAATCAAAGCTGGGAGGTTTGTATTTTGATTTTGTTTTCTTAATTAAATGTTAAATAATCAGTCTGGGTACATATTAGCGTGGAGTAAGCAGTGTGAATTTTGATATTTTAACGGAAAATGCAAATGAGGTATCATTACTTGCTTGAAAACGTTGAGAGAATACTCTTCGAAACGATGCCCAAATAAATCAGTAATTGTTCTTTCATAAGTATGTGTTATAGTTTATTGAGGTATCATTACTTTAAATCTTTTATTATCCTGTTGCCAAACAAAATTAATTGGGCGATATTGAAACAGGCTCCGTCCATCTATTGTTCTGCCCTAGTTTTGTTTTTGTTGCATATCTCATAAACTATCAAACATATCTTTATGAGACTTATATAAACATCAGCTTATTAGAGTAGTTGTGCCTTTTGCTAATTAGAAATTTCTTGAATTGATTTGATATAATTTTTGTGTTTCGTGGAAACAAATTTGACTTAGTTTTACTGTCCATAAAACCACTTTTTTTTCTCATGAAATTTTGATATGAAATGAAATGGACATTACAAATGAAATGAAATGGACAGCTAATCAGAAATGAAATAGAAAGCCCAAAAGAAATTGTTCATTTTGGTTTTATGAAATCAATTTAATGGATATGAGAAATGAAATAGACATCTCATCCGAAATGAAATGGACAGCTCATCTGAAATGAAATGGACAGGTCATCAGAAATGAAATGGACAGGTCGTAAGAAATGAAATGGACAGTTATGAATTGTTCATTTTATTTTTATGAAATTTTAATAATTTTTAATCTGAAAATAAATCAAAATTAGAAATGAAATCAAAATTAGAAATTCAAAATTAGAAATGAAATCAAAATTAGAAATGAAATCAAAATTGATTTTCTATGAATTAATAAAGTCTAGAAGTAGAATCCCCTCTATAATATTAATTCTGTGTTTTGTTATAGCGTCTGTGGATGTAAATGTTACACCTGATAAACGACAGATATTTTTACAGGGTGAGAAAATTTTACTGGCTGTTATTAAGGTAAGAAACTAGTTTATGGGTCTAGGTAAATGAATATTTTATAAGCAGTAGGTAGATAGTTTAATTACCTACAATACAGGTAGACAATCAACAGTAATATTGATTATATCATACCTCTGTTAAAGGGAAGCCTTGGTGACTTACAAACCAAGGGGTCTGGGGTTCGATCCCAGTCTTTGCTGTAAAAGTTCATCAGGATTTTCCGGCATGGTTTCCCCTTGTCATTGGCGCAGGACTGTCATGGTTTAACGCATACCCTTTAGATCATACATACTCTTTAGACCATTGAGTTAGGTGGCATGGTTTCAATTCCCGGTGGCTCGCTAACCTGGAGGTCCCGTGTTCGATCTCTGCGTTGGCAGAAAATTTCCATTAGGAATTTCCGGCGTGGTTCCCCCTTGTCAGTGGTGTAGGACGGAGGACCTGGCAAGGGACAACATACAGTTCGATGGGATGAAAAACTGAGGTCCCAGGTACACGTTGGCGGGCACGTAAAAGATCCTTTGGCCGTTGGAATTTGATATAAGAGTAGACCATAGGGCTGCTGTCCTGGCAAAATTTCCATCATAGCACACTGTCTATGAGGTATGCCTGTCTTCATTAGCAGAACAGTATGATGTTCAAACATATTTCATTTCATTTTACAAACCAGGAGGTCTCAGTTTCGATCCCGGTGTTTGCCGTAAAAGTACATCCGGATTTTCGGGCATAGTTTCCCCTTGTCATTGGTGCAGGACTGTCATGGTTTAACGCATGTCACAGCTAAAGATCCCTATGCGCACGCGAATTATTGAAAACAAATTGAACCATGTCTTAGTCACGAAATGACCTAGTTTGTGTCGATTGGACGTTAAACCCAATTTCTCTGTCACCTGTCCAATCTCGTGGATATTAATACAATTTGCATATTATTAATTAGTCCCGAAATGACCCAGTCTGTGTTGAGTTGACGTTAAACCCCATTTCTCTCGCTCTCTCATTTAATTAATGTATCCCATTTCTATGAATTGCAGACATCTTTGATAAAGTTATTTGAACCAACAACTTGTATGATGACATTGAATCAGTCTCCATTTTCACATCAAATCACAACAGGTAAGTTAGCCATTGTGGACCAGGCCCCGATTTAACAAAACATTCTCAGACTAAAGTTACAAATTTACTCAAAATTGTTGGCCTTATTTTAACTAAACTATAACCGTTTATGAAATTTTTGTTGCTTTAATGTATCAAATACATCAATAAGAAACTATGTGCAGATTTTTGTGTTTCTGGATCAAGGATATTTCTCATAAACAGTGCTTGACTTAGGCCTGAGAATGCTTTGTGAACTTGGGGCCAGATGTATTTCTTCATCTTTCATGAGGACCTGTGGTGGCTCAGGGAGTAAGATGCTGGCTCGCTAACCAGGAGATCCAGGGGTCAATGCCAGTGTCGGCTGGAAAATTTCCTCAGGATTTCATCTTTCATATAAGAATTACCTCATAAGCACAAAATGTATTATGATTTATTTTGTTTTTATTTTTAGAGGCCAGTAATAAAACAGAGGGTGAAACTCCAGTAAGTTTAAAATGTCTACTCATCAAATATATCAATCTGAATCCTGATTAAAATGTCTACTCATCAAATATATCAATCTGAATCCTGATTAAAATGTCTAGTCATCAAATATATTAATCTAAATAAAATACTCAACTAATTTTTGTCGTGCTCAACGTTTGACCCTATCAAATCAGTACTTTGATTAATGTGGACGTATATTGCCGTCGCTTCCGTCTGTCCATCGTCCACAATTTCAGGTCTATCACTATGAATGTCTACCAACTGTTCCGCATGCCAGACGATAACAACGGGACTCGACAGACCATTTGTTTGGCTAATCCAGTGGTTCTCTACCTTTTTTTGCCAGTGGCACACCTTGGAACACATGAAAAGATAGCAGCACACCTGGCTAAATATATATGAAAAATATTTGAATTTTGCAAAATAAAAACATAACAAGTCAGACAGCATACAACCGTAGACAGAGTCTAGGCACAGAGACATAGAATGTCTCAAACTAAGTAAAGAAAAACACAGCTATGAACTTATCATTAGACACCAGTGAATACTCAATTGGGATCATGTGATGTTTTGCATTTTCTTAGTGTGTCGTTCAAAATTCTGTGGCACACTGGTTGAGAATCACTGGGCTAATCTCTCACATCAACAAAAATGTCAGTGGGCTTATTGCATAGCGAAGCAGCATAGATCGCTGAAATTTTGATGGATTTTGTTCATTTAAGATTTTACAAAATAAAATGAAAGTGATTGAAATGAAATGGGGTTTAACGTCCTACTGTTCTGCTCCAACTGGGCAGGCATACGACATACAGTCTGCTGTGAGGGAATTTTTGCCCGGGCAGCAAACTATGGACTACTCTTACATCAAATTACAACTACCAAGGGGTCTTTGACATGCACGCTAATGTGTACACGGTACCTTGGTTTTTTATCTAATCCGAACGACTAGACAGCTGTCCTTGTCAGGTCCACGATCCTGCACCACTCACAAAGGAGACACCATGTCGGAAAATCCTGATGTATTTTCTCGGCCAATGCAGGGATCCGAATACAGGATTACAAAATAAAAAAACAGAAGGTGGGAAATCGTATGTTTCTTTTTGCCTCTCTGCTCGAACGTCACCTTTTGTGAATGCGACATACAGTCTGCTGTGAGGGAATTTTTGCCCGGGCAGCAAACTATGGACTACTCTTACATCAAATTACAACTACCAAGGGGTCTTTTACATGCACGCTAATGTATACACGGTACCTTGGTTTTTTATCTAATCCGAACGACTAGACAGCTGTCCTTGTCAGGTCCACGATCCTGCACCACTCACAAAGGAGACACCATGTCGGAAAATCCTGATGTATTTTCTCGGCCAATGCAGGGATCCGAATACAGGATTACAAAATAAAAAAACAGAAGGTGGGAAATCGTATGTTTCTTTTTGCCTCTCTGCTCGAACGTCACCTTTTGTGAATGCGATACAAATCAGAGATCTTGATAGAACTTTTAGAAACTTTAACAAATTGTTCATTGAGGCACAGCTCCCTTTTGATAATTGAAATTTTTAGATCATGTATTTTTGAAGCATTTCTGAAAATGTTCTTTCTTTGCTGTTCATATTTGTTGGCCTGTTAATGTTGATTATTACAATTCTAATGTCTTATAATACATTATATATGACATTATTAAAGTAAATGGTTGTTTTATTTAAAATTTGTGGGTAAGATGCTGGCTCGCTAGCCTGGAGGTCAGGTGTTCAATCCCTGCATTGGCCGAGAAAGTTCATCCAGATTTTCCTGCGTGGTTCCCCCTTGTCAATTATGCAAGACGGAGGGCCTGACAAGGACAGCTGTCTAGTCATTTGGATGAGACGAAAAACCAAGGTCCTGTGTACATATTGACGTGCACATAAAAGACCCCTTGACAGTTGGAATTCGATATAAGAGTAGGCCATAGTGCCGCTGTACGGGCAAAATTTCTCTCATAGCACACTGTATGGCGTATGCCCGTCTTCATTAGCCCAGTTCGGAGCAAAACAGTAGCATGTTAAACCCCATTTCATTTCATTTCATTTATTTAAAATTTGTTGACAGATGACTTTGCTGGTGGTGGGTGCATTATGGAATCTGTCAAGTTCTTGTCTATGTTTTGTTTTACAGAAATCGAGTGCCAGTCAGTTGTCAAGATTAAAGAGGTCATTCTCTAGTGCTTTTAGTCAACCAGAAAATAATTCCAGTCCAAAATCTCAAAAAAGTCCAAAGAAACGTAAGTTTGTAGCTGAAATCATAGAACCGAAGCGGACCAAGTCTCTATCATCTAAAAAAATATTCTCCGAATTTTAGTCTGGATGTGTTGTCAACATTTGAGAATGATAGGTCATTGGCTAGATTATGATAACAAAGTCTAAGGGAGGTAACTAGTCTTAAAACAAGATGTTGGCGCCCATAAAATTAATTTAAAAATTCCATTTCAGAACATCGATTTGATTGCATTGGCAGTTCAATATCCAACACTCTTAAAAAAAAAATTATTGTAAAATTTCTCTTTTTATGGGTTACATATATGTTATTTTTTTTATTATCTCGTCAATTACGCCACAATATTTATATATATGCCAAGCCTCAAATCAGTTTCACACAATTATAGTCACTAAATAAACGATCATGTTGTACTTAATAAGCTATGACCATTAATCATCTATAAATAATAGACTGAAAACTGGTTCCAAGTTGCGTCCATAACATCCAGACACTTTTGAGTAAAAGATAGGTTACGTGCCCTTGTTTTGAAATTAGTCTCGCTTAACCAGTCTATCGACCATTCTACGTCTGATTGACAGGTCGGGATAATCAAGACTACTTTTTTACGAAACATAACAGAAACCTAGAACAAGAAATTGAATTTAGAAATAAGCACTTTAGACAACTCAACAATTGTTTTAAGAAACTTGTAAAAGTAAAATGAAACTACTGCTAGTATCATGTTCATGCTAAAGAAAGTGATTCAGATATAGTATTTGTACTAAACCAAAAAATGCCGCTCTTAACGGTACAGTTAATGATAAAGCAATTTAAAAAATAAAACAAACGTAATTACTAAAGCTGCTGTAATAACCAAGAAGCTAAATTTTACTGCTATTCAAAATCGTCAACAATAGATTTTTTACGGCTGTAATAGTTGATATATTTGTAGAGAATTGCACGTGCCATGGCTATTTATCGACTCAAAGCGAGTGCGGGGTAGTCAGAAATCAGTTCGAGACACGCAACTGAAGCGTGCACATTTAGCCGTGTAAAGTGCACGGGTCACCCTATTAATGGAAGAATTGTGGGATTGACTTGGCCAAAGATACTGGATAATCAACCACATAAAAAAAAACAAAAAAAAACTCCCAGTTACGCATGGGCAATGGAACTTTTCGTTAAATATTGACAACAGTCCCAGAAGCTCTGTATGTAGATGATTAGGAGGTTCTGGGTGACTGAGAATAAAGCAGATCAGAATCACTCACTTTCAATCTGTCAATCAGTTATGTTATCTTAGCCTGTGTCATTTGGAGAGAACTAAAATTAAAACCGGCCAGAAGAATAAAAAGACTCTCTTTAACAGAATCAATATGTTTATGACTAATCAGATCAAGGAGAGATTACAATCAGTGTGTTCTAGAGAGGAGGGGAGATAGATAGAGACCCATGGTCATTTCGGGTTTAACATTTGGTACAATTTTCTTATGATAATTCGCAGCTGTGAGAGGAGACAGGAGGTAACCCATGGTGTTGAACAGACGACCCTACTCCTAGTCACATACAAGCTTAGGATTGAAACCAATGACAGACCTTATGATCTAAAGCACACACCCAACTCTAAATAGAATATATATATTCGTATTCCTTAAAACACTGAGATCCAGAATTGTCCAGCAACATTTCCTCTTGTCAGTGGTGCAGAAAGAGGGCCTTACCAGGGACAGCATGGTTTTCTTGTGTCAGTCGTGCAGGATAGAGGGCCTTGCCAGGAACAGCGTGTAATCATTCAAAGCACACAGCATGGCATAGGTCCATCTTCATTAGCCAGGTTGGAGAGAGAGAGTTTGGGGAAGGTATCATCCACAGGACACAAACTAGGTCATTAGCAGTGAGAGGAAACCGGATTTCCAACATGGTTTTCAGGATAGAGGGACTTGCCAGGAACAGTGTCTAGTCATTCAAAGTGCACTACATGGCATAGTTCCATCTCAATTGAACCGCATGTTAGTCCCGAAATAACCTAGTGTGAGTTGAATGGACATTAAATCCTCTCTCTCTCTCTCTCTCTCTCTCTCTCTCTCTCTCTCAGTAATTGAAATAACAGAGAAATAAATTGTTTAAAATTAATCTGTTTTTCAGAAAGATGTCTAGATCAGTTTATATCGAGAAATTCAAGTTTTAATGAAGATCTTTCATGTGACAAACCGTCACCTATTGACATTAAACAATTTCTCTCTTATGGAAAACAGAATGACAGTTCAGTGAAAATTACTAACTTAGACGATTCTTACTCACTGACTTCTTCACCTAATACAAAACATTTAAACATTATTATTGACAGTCCATCTCAAACAACCAGCAAGGATAATATCATAGAATTACAGCTACCATTTCTTAGTGAATCAGAATCTAATTCACAAAAAATTTCACGGACTTCAAGCATTGTGGAATCCCCTTCAGTGGAAGATTTTGAATCTGGTATTTCTGGAAGTGTCTCATCTAATCAAACGTTGTCTGTGTCTTCTCAAGAAATAATGGACGATAGTGTTTTACAATCAGGGGTGTCACCTTTAAAGACTTGCTATGTTTTGAAGAATCATGTACATTCAAATAGTGGTGCTAGAACTTTGGATGTAAAAAATGAAAGTAGGCCTGTAGACGCAAGGGAAAGTAGTCTTGTAGATGAAAGTGAAAGTAGTGTACTGAAATCAGAAGATACACAGAAAAGAGATGTCCTCATCACTCATGTGGTATGTTGTTTTATGATCACCACTGAAAGGGTTAATTTGTTTATGGTGGGACAGTTAACTTAAAAAAATAATACATAAGTGTTTTCTTTTTAGTGCTGGCGAAACAGACTTGATACTTTTCATTGTTGAAGCAACAGTGGGTCGGTAGTGTTGTACTGGAGATTTGCATGTTTTTAGTTTTAGCCCTTTTCTAGAAGTTGCGGACAGTTATCAGCTGTATCAATATAATTCGCCAACACTTCTTAATACTAGATGTAAATAAAATATAAGACAACTAATGGTGATTGGGTGGTCAATTGATCAAATGCATGTGCCTTAGAACATAAGGTCTATCAAGTGGAGTGGTTTTGATCCTACACTTGTTTTCTCCTGATTCTCTGGTTTCCTCCCACAGCTAAAACCCCCTACGCGCAAGCAAATTATTGAAATAAAATTGTATCATATGTCAGTCACGAAATTCTCTCTCTCTCTCTCTCTATCTCTCTCTATAAATATATCATCTAAAGTTTTAAAACTATTTCAGGATAAACCACAAGTTACCAAAAAACGAGAAAAAATAATGCAGTTTAGTTTTGAAAAGCTGAAAAACAGACATAAACAAAAAAGTAAGTGCCTTGGACATCGTGGGTTTTATTCTTAATAGTACTAATAATTTATGCCTTGATAGTTGAAACTTATTTGAAAATGAAATGGGGTTTAATGTCCTACTTTTTTGTTCAGACGATAAAGTGACAAACATCAAAATGTCTACACCATTGAGTTCTAGCAGAATGACGATTGTCGGCTTACCGAATTGTTTCATTGCATGATAATGACTAGAGAAACCTAGTCCAAACGTCGCTCAGTAATAATTAGTAAATGTATTCCATAAAATTGTCACCTGTTGGTGCTTATCAAAGTTTAAACATGACCTCTTGCTCTATAAATCAGTGTATGTACCGGTTCTCTACAAGTATCTATTTGAAATGAAATGAAATGGGGTTTAACGTCCTACTGTTCTGCTCCTATGCTGGGCTAATGAAGACGGGCATACGCCATACAGTGTGCTATGAAGTATTTTGCCCGGGCAGCAGCACTATCGCCTACTCTTATATCGAATTCCAACTGCCAAGGGATCTTTTACATGCATTCCAATGTATACACGGGACCGATTCTGAATGTTATTGCAGACAATGAATGAAGATAACAATTTGTTTTTATAAGCTTTAATATTCGGTGTTAAAGTTGTATATATTACCAATTTTGTTTTTTTGTGAGTAAAATGATTTGCCTTACCGTACTGTGATTCCCTTAGATTATGTGTTCATTTATTATTGGGTTTGCCTTTTTATACCATGGCGAAATGAGAATTTTATTTCATAATATCCTACCTGATATATGTACATATGAATTATCGTTCCTTACGCTAAAACTCACACTTTCCGGTACTAGACCAATCGAGTCTACCGGAAGTAGTAAACATGCGCACGCACCAGATCACATGATCCCATGCACATGTCAGTTCGTTTTCTCGGCGCTTGCAAATCGCACGTGTTTTTTTTTTTAGTGTTTCTAATTTGGAAGCCATTATGGCTAGAGTTTCGGATGGAGAGGAATCTTCGTCAAGTTGTTTGTCTTCGACTTCGGTAAGTAATCATATTAGGGCGCCTTTATCGGGTCCTTGTAGAATGATTGAAAATAAGACAAATGACGGGGAAAAACGAGGTCAGCAAACTCGTAGTGAACCGCCGATTGATACGGGCGAAACTATCCAGGAAACGAGAACAGCTAATAGTTCTATTCCTTTGACTTTATCAAAAGAAAAGAAGAAGAAATCGAGTAAAACAAAAAGTCGGTTGGATCAAATGGAGTCCAAACTAGATCGGTTGTTCGACCTAATGGTGAACAAAAATAATGCTACCGATGTAAACAATACGGTTATCTCCCCTGGACTGTCTGAAACGAGATCCGACAGGGTTACCGAATCTAAAGATTCTAAAAGTAAAAAACAGGATGTCATTTCAAGAAGGAGCAAAGGAAATGATTATTTTTACCATGATTCAGATTCAGACTCTGACTGTCTTTCAATTCAACCCGGTCAAGATGAAAGGATTGATTCATCGGAGCCTGAGGAAGATATGCCGGTCTTGCCCTTTGAACAGGGAATTAATGTAAATGTCGACAAATCTACCAAAGGTCCAGGATTGTTTTCCATCTTTGGCACTGACGCCACAACAAGAAAGGACACTGTGAATGAACCGGGTATAAGGCTAGATCAGTCTCAAAGAGATGTAATTAATCATAGTTGGAGGTGTTCGACTCCATCTAATTTGACAGCCTTTTCAGAGGAAAATATTGAATTGTTTCCCATATGCGAGGAGGACAGGATTTTTTTACAAGTACCAACCTTGGACACATTAGTTGAATCATGTCTCATTCAAAAACATGGTACCTCGGCATCTTTTGCTAAGTCAGGCCGTTCACTATATCAACAGCCATATAAGATGGCCGAAAAATTAGCTTATAAAGGGCAACAAGCAGCTTTAATGGGTATAAATATTCAGCTATATACTCAACAAGCGTTAGGTACACTTATGCAGGGTCTTGTGTCTCAGGATAGTGAACTCACCAAAGAACAAATCATGCATCAAATTCAAAACATTTTTGCCATGTCGACAAAAAATCTTGATCAATTTGGCAGGGTGGGTGCCTTTCACCATGCAATCAGAAGAAGCATGGCCATGACTGACTCTTCTCTCTATGAGGTAGAGAACTCACGTACCTTGTTTAATCTCCCTCTTACAGGGGATGGAGTTTTCGGTTCTAGCCTGGAGAAGGCTCTGAAAGACAAAAAAGAGCAGAAGAAAGCCGTCCAGGAACTTTTGCCGGTTTTATATAACAGGAAAAGAAGAAGTAATTATATACCAGAGGCATCATCAGCTAAGCGCTCTAACACTTTTCAGTATCGCCAAGGTAATACTTTGAATAGTGAACATATTTTTCGGGCTCCAGCAACACCAAGAGGGAGGACATACAATAGGGGCCAGTCCTACTCATTTCGAAGGGGACGAAGAGACTATCAGGAGGGACGAAAACCGTCATTTACCTCTGCCTCAGAAACTAGAGGTTCCAGATCTACTAACCAATGACACAGTAAGTGTTTTGATGAGACGTCCGGAGATACCTGTGGGCGGGCGTCTGTCTTTTTTTCTGACACAATGGCAAGAGATCACTTCAGACAGCTGGGTCTTACGAACCATACAGGAGGGCTACAGACTCGAATTTCTGAAAATTCCGCCTTTTCTTGGCATAAAGCACACTCGGGTGGCGGCCAAGGGTTTACGTCTTATAAGACAGGAAATCACATCTCTTTTAGGAAAAAATGCAATAGAGCCAGTGTCAGAAAAAAAGATCCATTCAGGTTTTTACAGTTCGTTGTTCCTAGTAACCAAAAAGAACGGGGAACTCCGACCTGTGATAAATTTGAAGCCATTAAACCGATATCTCCGGAAGACACATTTCAAGATGGACACTCTCAAAAAGGTTTTACGTCTAGTCAAATCAGGAGATTGGGCCTTTTCGATCAACCTAAAAGATGCTTATCTCCATATACCGATTTTTCCGGAACACAGGAAATATCTAAGGTTTTGCGTAGAAAACAGAGTATACCAATTCAAAGTTCTGTGTTTCGGACCAACATCCGCCCCTCGAGTGTTTACAAAAATTCTCTCAGTGGTCGTGGAGCACCTTCGTTTTCAAAATGTTCGAATGGCAGCGTTTCTGGACGATCTCTTGTCAGTCAACCAGAAGAAGGCAGATCTATTGAAAGATCGCAGGAAAATGGTGGATCTTCTGATTCGACTAGGTTTCATTATAAATATAAAAAAATCTCAACTAGTTCCTTCACAGGAGATCACATACATAGGTGCTCTGTTAAAGTTCAACCAGGGTATGGTTTACCCAAGTTTGGAGAGGGCAAACAGTTTACGCAAATCAGTACAATCCCTTCTGGGGGGTCAGGATTCAGCAAGGGACTATCTCCGTCTCTTGGGCAAGATTGCATCATGTCTGGAATTGATAGCCAATGCACGTTTGTTTATGAGGCCAATTCAGTTTCATCTATTGAGTGTTTGGAAGTTGTCGACAATAAGTTTGTCAGTAAAAGTTCCTGTGTCTCCAGAACTAAGATTAAATGTAAATTGGTGGTTACAGGAAGCCAACATTTTAAAGGGTCAATCGTTACTGCCAATGCAGACCTCGGTAACCATAACTACAGATGCTTCACTGTGGGGTTGGGGAGGTCATCTAGACAACAGATTTGTGCAGGGTTTGTGGTCGGAAATGATGAAAAAAGAACATATCAATCTGTTAGAACTGAGAGCAGTTCACCTGACAATCAAACATTTTCAGACAGAGTTAACAGACAAACATGTGTTAGTACGCTCGGACAACAGTACAGTTGTTCATTATCTGAACAAGCAGGGGGGGCACAAAATCTTCTCAGTTATGTCAAGAAACATGGGAAGTTTGGAATTTGGCACTAAGTCACAACATGTCAATTCAGGCGGCGCACTTGCCATCAGCAGAGAATGTATTAGCGGATCGCCTCAGCAGGGGGAAGGTTTTGTCAACCGAATGGTCTTTGAATCTGGAGGTAGTCGAAATGATTTTCCAGACGTGGGGTTATCCGTCAGTAGATCTGTTTGCTACAGCCCAGAACCGCAAGTGCCTAATATTTTGTGCATGGGTTTATCACCCACTAGCTTTCGAAATAGACGCCCTGTCAATTTGTTGGGGCAATCTGTTCGCGTATGCTTACCCTCCAATAAGCTTGATTCCATTAGTTCTTCGTCATATTCAGAAATTCAAATGCGAAATAATACTGATTGCTCTGTTTTGGCCGAGGCAGGTATGGTTTCCTCAGTTATTACAACTGTTAGTGGCTCCCCCATTGAGGTTACCGAATCTCGAGGTATTACTAGAGCAGGGAAATCCAAAATTGTACCACCCAAATCCACAACTGTTTCAATTGACTGCATGGAGATTGTCGACAGACGTTTTCAAACAACAGGATTTTCGGCTAACACTAGGAAATTGTTGGCAGCCTCATGGAGGTCTGGGACACAAAAAGGTTACAAGTCCAAATTCAGGAAATATGTATGCTGGTGTCGTGAACGGGAAGTTGATCCCTATGTATCAAATTTAGGTCACTGTGCAAATTTCTTGACACACTTGTTCGATGAGGATCTAAGTTATAGAACCATTGCTGGTTATCGATCCATGCTATCCACTGTGTTGCAACCAGTGGAGGGAATTCCAGTCGGTCAACACCCATATATTATCCGTTTACTAAGGGGAATTTTTAATTCAAGGCCACCAATTCGGAAACTTCTCCCAGAATGGGATTTACCCCGAATTCTAAGTATGTTGACGAGGTCGCCTTTCGAGCCCATGCGTAAATCTAAGTTAAAATATGTTACATGGAAGACAGTTTTCTTATTTGCTATAACTTCATTCAGGAGATGTGGCGACCTACAATCTCTTAGATTGGGAAAAGGAAATGTCAATATTCAAGCCCATGGAGTTACGTTTATTCGTCAAGGTCTTTCAAAACAAGATCGAGCATCACACTTTAACCCAAAAATTTATATACCATCTTTTCCAGATAACAAGCTATTAGATCCGAAAAGAGCTATGGCAATCTACTTAAAGATGACAGAACCTTTTCGAGAACAAAATGGAAGAGATCAAACTAAGATGTTTTTATGCGTAAATAAGCCACATTTACCAGTTTCGACACAGACAGTGTCTAGATGGATTGTAAATGTGATACGACAAGCCTATAAAGGAGATATAGTGCCAGCTGTGCGGGGACATTCTACTAGGGCACTGGGAGCTTCCTGGGCTCTATTCAAAGGTTCTTCCATGAAAAGTATCATGGAAAGTGCTGACTGGACCCAGGAAAATACATTTATAAAGTTTTTTTTACAAGATGTAAATGTTGATTTCTTGCAAACCGAGTAATGGTTTGTGTTCATGAGGTGATGGTTTTTAGAAAGTCTGCTAAAGTCTAGTGGATATATATAAGAAATCCCGGCGAGTTTTTCAGGAGGTATGTAATTTTTTATACAACATTGAACTTGTGTTCGTTGTTATCACAAGATATATATATATATAAATCAGAAAGTATTTGAGCTACACTGATCTGAATCCCACCTCCATTCATGTAATGCTTGGGGAATCTAGGAATAATTCATATGTACATATATCAGGTAGGATATTAAGAAATAAAATTCAAAAATTTGACATAAGTTCAAATTTTATGAATAATATACCTACCTGATATATGTACGAACCCTCCCATCCTTCCCCTAATTGCAGAATCAGTTTCTCAAGGGCGATTTGTAAGCGCCTCGAATGAACTGACATGTGCATGGGATCATGTGATCTGGTGCGTGCGCATGTTTACTACTTCCGGTAGACTCGATTGGTCTAGTACCGGAAAGTGCGAGTTTTAGCGTAAGGAACGATAATTCATGTGTACATATATCAGGTAGGTATATTATTCATAAAATTTGAACTTATGTCAAATTTTTGAAATTTTGGATAAAATATTCTCCTCTATCGACGAATATGACGGATATGATTAGAATTCCATATACTGTCCATGATAAAACATACTTTTTTTTGATCTTACAAAGTGATGAATTGGGACAAATGTGAACCATACCATTTTCTTTTTTTCGAAAAAAATGACGATTGTGACTGTCATGAACTTTGACCCTTATCAATAACAATCAACTAAACTGGTTTGATAATGTTAGTTATAGTCCTGATGCGCGGGTATGAAATATAAAATCACAAATGAATAGTCTTGTTTGACGGCCACAGAGATAATAACAGAATGCAGATTTCAAATGCTTTTTTCTCAAAACATAAAGCAGGGTTGGATGGCCAAATGCTTAGCGCATTCGCGTTGTATCATAAGGTCTGTCATTGTGTCATTTGCCATGGTTTTGATTCCCTGGTTGTGTGAGACAAGGAGTAGGGTTGCCTGTCCAACCTCATGGGGTTTCTCTGGGTCCTCCAGTTTCCTCCCACTGCTACAGATCCCTAAGCACAAGCGAATTATTGAAATAAAAATACACCATTTTTTAGTTCCAAAATGACCTAGTTTGTGTCGAATGGACTTTAAACACCATTTCTCTCTCTCTCTTAAAACTTAAAATTCGCAGATTTGTCAATTCAGGAGAAACGTGATTATATAAAGGGCAGATTAAAACTATTTTACAAAGATTACAAATTGTTTTACAGATGATAAACAAAGTACCAGTTTCTGTCGAAGTTTTCGAGCCAAGATTTCACCCACAGATAATCAGTCAGCAGAAGACGAACTTAAAAGAGAGATCAAGTATGATTATCATCAATCGAATTAAAACACAGATCATATTTCGTTTCATTTTTTATAGTTCAAAATTTTGTTTTACTTGTCTTTACTACACTAGGATCTGGAAGAGTTGTTATATTACCTGTGTTCTAATTTATGTAAGGCAAGTTTTTGGCGTGCTGCGCACACAGAAATGTGGTTAAATCACTGGAAAGGTCAACGCTGATAGATTAATTGATGTCAAAAGCCGCTCGTATGACCCCTGACACGACCTTCCACTACAACCGGTCAGATTTTCATGTACTAAGAGACCATCGAAAGTATAAAAAAAAAAATGAAACGAAATATAGATCTATATTTTAATCAGATTGAATTGTAATTATATATTACTTAATTAGACTTTTTAATGTTGAAAACACTTGGAACTTGACGTCAAAAGACTTGAGACACGAAATATTATTTTATGTAAATTATTATTTGAAACAGCACTGCTAGATATTGTTACATTATACACGATAAAAAATGATTATTTCATGGGAACGCAGCTATCCTGGCAAATTTTCCCTCAAAGCACATAGTATGGGATATGTCTGTCTTCATTAGCATAAAAATGTAAGATGTATTAAACCTCATTTCATTTCATTACAATAATGTTGGGTTTAAAAGCTAGTTATGGTTTGGGTTTCTGACAAGGACAGCTGCCTAGTTATTTGGATGGGATGAAATGAAAATGAAATGGGGTTTAACGTCCTACTGTTCTGCACCTATACTGGGCTAATGAAGACGGGCATACGCCATACAGTGTGCTATGAGGGAAATTTTGCCCGGGCAGCGGCACTATCGCCTACTCTTATATCAAATTCCAACTGCCAAGGGATCTTTTACGTGCATTCCAATGTATACACGGGACCTTGGTTTTTCGTATCATCCAAAGGACTAGACAGCTGTTCTTGTCAGGCCCTCCGTTCTGCACCACTGACAAGGGGAAACCACGTCGGATAATCCAGATGAACTTTCTCGACCAATGCAGGGATCAAACACCCGACCTCCAGGCTAGCGAGCCAGCACCTTAACCACATACATTGGCATGCACATTAAAGATCCATTGACAATTGGAATTCGATATAAGAATAGTTCGTAGCGCTGCTGTCGGGGCAAAATTTTCCTCATATCACACTGTATGGCGTATGCCTTTCTTCATTAGCCCAGTTGGAGCAGATCTGTAGGACATTAAACCCCATTTCATTTCATTAATTATGGTTTTCTGATTTTAGGAAAGAAATGTTTTCACAGATGGAAATATTGGGTCAGGTTAGTATGATTGGTCAATAAAAATAAGGGTTTTGTGGGTTTTTTTGTGTTTTTTTAAAACTGCTTGAAGCACATTTATATTGCTCTCTGTTGTAGCATTTAAACAGCCATGTTTTTAAGCAGTATTTAAAAACAAATTAGGGTGGAGAAAGTCTAACATGCTCAGGAAAAGAAGTCCATAATGTTGATTTTGTCGATCGATAAGTTTTTGATTCAAATATTTTTCAATTTGTTTTCGTCACATTCAACAAATGTTTACTACTCGAGTGACGGATTCTAGTTGAGAAAGAGGAATTGGGTGTAACGTCCACTCGACACAAACTAGGTCATTTTGGAACTAGCATAGGGGTCTTTAGCGGTGGACAGGCAACCCTAAACCTTGTCACGTACAATCGACGAATCAAAATCACGCCTCTTGACTCAATGACAGACCTTCTGATTCAATGCATGTTAACCATTCAGCTTTAATCCATATTGGTATGTAATAGATGTTTTGTTTATTCTAGTTTAATTTAGGTTTTATTATAACTAAACATGGTGACGATTTATTTATTGTTGATCAACATGCCACGGATGAAAAATATAACTTTGAGATGTTACAGAAAAATACAACATTACAGAGTCAAAAACTCATACAGTAAGTATTTATTATTTCAGACTAAAAGCTAGTAATGTTATTTATTTCGGACTTGCAGCAAGTGATGATATTTATTTCAGACTAACAGCAAGTAATGTTATTTATTTCCCACTAACAACTAGAGATGTTATTAATGTTATTTATTTCAGACTAAGAGCTAGTAATTTATTTATTTCAGACTAACAGCAAGTAATGTTTTTTATTTCAGACTTACAGCTAGTAATGTTATTTATTGCGGACTTACAGCAAGTAATGTTATTTATTTCAGACTAACAGCAAGTAATGTTATTTATTTCCCACTAACAACTAGAGATGTTATTAATGTTATTTATTTCAGACTAAGAGCTAGTAATTTTATTTATTTCAGACTAACAGCAAGTAATGTTTTTTATTTCAGACTTACAGCTAGTAATGTTATTTATTGCGGACTTACAGCAAGTGATGTTATTTATTTCAGACTAACAGCAAGTAATGTTATTTATTTTGGACTTGCAGCAAGTAATGTTATTTATTTTAGACTTACAGCAAGTAATGTTATTTATGTCAGACTAACAGAGCTAGTAATTTATTTATTTCAGACTAACAGCAAGTAATGTTTTTTATTTCAGACTTACAGCTAGTAATGTTATTTATTGCGGACTTACAGCAAGTAATGTTATTTATTTCAGACTAACCGCAAGTAATGTTATTTATTTCCCACTAACAACTAGAGATGTTATTAATGTTATTTATTTCAGACTAAGAGCTAGTAATTTTATTTATTTCAGACTAACAGCAAGTAATGTTTTTTATTTCAGACTTACAGCTAGTAATGTTATTTATTGTGGACTTACAGCAAGTGATGTTATTTATTTCAGACTAACAGCAAGTAATGTTATTTATTTTGGACTTGCAGCAAGTAATGTTATTTATTTTAGACTTACAGCAAGTAATGTTATTTATGTCAGACTAACAGCTAGTAATCTCATACTAACAGCAAGCAATGTTATTTATTTCAGACTAACAATAAGTAATGTTATTTACTTCAGACTAACAGAAAGCAATGTTATTTATTTCAGACTAACAGCTAGTAATTATTTATTTTGTACTAACAGCAAGTAATGGTATTTAATTTCAGACTAACAACAAGTAATGTCATTTATTTTGTACTTACAGCAAGTAATGTTATTTATTTCAGACTAACAACAAGAAATGTTATTTTTTTTTTTCAGCCTTACAGCAAGTAATGTTACTTATTTCAGCCTTACAGCAAGTAATGTTACTTATTTCAGACTAAGAGCTAGTAATTTTATTTATTTCGGACTAACAGCAAGTAATGTTATTTATTTCAGACTAACAGCTAGTAATGTTATTTATTTCAGACCCCAATGTTTAGAACTAACAGCCAGTAATGAAACTATTCTTGCAGATAATTTACATATATTTAATAAAAATGGTTTTGAATTCTTAATTAATGAAGAAGGTAAGTCGCACATAATTAAACTATGATACACTACAAAAAACTAAGCAATAACAGGTCCTGCGGTGAACTTATGATTACAATGACTGGTCCCGTGGTGAATATTATTCAATCATACTGTGACTGGTCCCACTGTGAATATATAAGTCTTTCAATTCTGTGATTGCTCCAACGTTGAATATTCGAAGTTTCATTACAACGACTGACTCCTCTGTGAATATTGTCCATCTTTACAATGACTGGTCCCCCTGTGAATATAGTTTTGTATTACAATGACTGATCTCATTGGGAATTGTATTCTTACATTGACTGTTCCTGCTGTGAAGAATATTATTGTTACAATAACTGGTCCTGCTGTGAATAATCTTATCGTTACCATAACTGGTCCTGCTGTGCATAATGTATTACAATGACTGATCCTGCTGTGAATAATATTATCATTACAATGACTGGTCCTGCTGCGAATAATATTATCATTACAATAACTAGTCCTGCTGTGAATAATAGTATCATTACAATGACTAGTCCTGCTGTAAACATTAATCTTATCATTACAATGACTAGTAAAATATTTTAATGTTATGAAACAAATGTTCTGTTGTCTTATTCTAGCTCCACCAACTCAAAGAGTAAGATTAACATCCACCCCAGTGAGCAGAAATTGGAACTTTGGAAAGGAAGGTATGGATTAGAATGTTTTGTTAATTGCACTGAATAAACCTTTTCCATTTGACAAAATTGCCCTAAATACACAAGATTAAATGAAACCCAGGTTACAGTGTATGCATTTACATGTTGACTGATATACAGTTTGTTTGGAAGTTACACCTTACTGTAGTGTAACCGTAAATACTGACAACATGGGAAAAGAAATAAAAGTAAAAGTGAATTTAAATTTTTAAATTTCAGATATTGAAGAATTGATATTTATGTTGACTGATTCTCCGGTAAGTTTGACTTCTATTGTTAACCTTTTTGCTTCTTGCACATGTAAATATGGAACGCCACATTACCTGAAAAAAAAAAATGAACTTTTTTTTTTTTCATATTGAGTTTTGGAAACTGCAAGTTCCTGAGTCACAAAACTACAATCTGGTTCAAAATTGTATTTTATTTGTTTTTACTACACTAGCATCTGGAAAAGTTGTTATATAACCTGCGTTCTGGATGATGTGACGGATTAGCAAATGAAACGGTATGTTACGGCAAGTTTTTGGTGTGAGGTACACGAAACTGTGGGCAACCTACTAGAAACGCTGATTGGTTAATCATATGTCCAACGTCATAGGGTCAAAAGCAGCTTGTATGACCTCTGACACGACCCTTCCACTACAACCGGTCAGACCTTCATGTAGTAGAGGCCATTAAAAGTATTTAAAATACAGATGTGACGTCACCCTTTGATGTTGGCGTACCATTATTTCAAATAATCGTACGGGCAACTTGCCAATCGTACCTTGTCAAATATTAGACTCGAGTGACGTATTTCACTGTAAACGCACGTGCGGAGTGTCTGTATTTTAAGATGTTTAATGGTCTCGAGCTGAGACATTGCGTAATATATGGTAAAAACACTCGGACCTGACGGTCCTCTTGTTGTTACAATATATTACTTAATGTCTCGCTCTCGACCATTAAACAATACAAAAAGAACGAAACAAATCAGATTAACAAAACTGTCAATCTACAGTTGAAATATCTATTTTAGGGTGTTATGTGTCGACCATCACGAGTGAGAATGATGTTTGCGTCCAGATCATGTCGTAAAGCTGTAATGATTGGAACAGCTTTAAATAGATCAGAAATGAAAAGGGTAAGTATCATTTTACCGGAGGGCGGTTGTGAGGTTGACGGCTTTGGCCGTGTGGTCTAAGGTGTGTGCTTTAGATCATAAGGTCTGTCGTTGATTCAGGGGGTTCGATGGCTGAATGATTAGCACATGCACGTTGTATTATAAGGTCTTTCATTGGGTAAACTTGCGTGGTTTCTATTCCCCACTTGTACTTGGCAAGGAGTATGGTCGCCAGGGGTTTAACGTCCACTCGACAAACTAGGTCATTTTGGGACTAAAACATGGTTCAGTTTTATTTCAATAATTCGCTTGTGCGTAGGGGTCTTTAGCAGTGGGAGGAAACCAGAGCACCCAGAGGAAACCCACGAGGTTGGACAGGAAGCCCTACTCCTTGTCACGTACAACCGGAGAATAGAAACCACGCCAGTTGACTCAATGACAGACCTTATGTACAGCTCGCCATCCAACCCCCCAGGTAAACAAGGAAAGCAGTGTCTAGTCATTCTGATGGAGCAATAAAACATAAGATACCTGGTTGAAATTAAACAAAAAAAGAATTAGACATCATGTATATAAGGCTATTTATCAAGATTTGAAAGAACTTATTTGATAATATTTTATGATATTTTACAGTTAGTGTGTCACATGGGTGAAATAGAAATGCCTTGGGTAAGTTTTGTTAGGCCTTGAAAAACGTGGGGTTCAATCATCGGGGTCATCGCATGTCACAAATTTTCTGTGGAGATTACAGGGTGGTATTGGTTTTTGACCATAACCGATTCATATCATCAAGACTAGGGGATGCCAAATATACACAAAGTTTCAGTTCTTCAAATCTTTGAAAAGGATTGGCTGAATTGTTGAACCCAGTTTGGTTGGACTAATACAGTAAACTTTGCATAAGTCGGATCTAAGTGGACTGGCCAATTTTATCCAAGTTAAGCAAAAATGTCCTAAATTTTCCTGGAAAGTGTCTTGTACAGCAGACAGCGAGTTTCGAATTATTCGGGAAAATTCTATTATTGTGTCCTGTCATTTAAATAGACTGATTTGAATCAAAATGATAGGGGAAAGTATTTTGGGGCTCTGTGCATAGAATACCTAACCGCGTTTTAGACCATTGGGACGAAACTGACAGTCAAATTCTGAACATACTGTCAATCCAACTTGAGCAAAGGAAAAAAGCTGGAATTAGATAAAATGGACCGGACATTTTGATCTGAGTTGAGCGAAGATCCAACTTAGGAAATCCGAGTTTAGCGCAGAAATTTAATAACAAAAATAAGCAGGATCAAAGGGTCCAAACGATTTTATCCGAGTTAAGCAAAGTTTCAACTTGTATGAATCCAACTTATACGAGTTTTACTGTAGTTTGATCTTCCAGCTCCTGATCAGTTTAAAAGCAGTGGACATGGAAATGAGGACCCACCAGCAGAAAGGTCACCCATGCTAGCTCTAAAATGATTGTCAGTAAATCCTGCAGAGCAGCTTTAACGGAAACAAAACATTATGAACACTGTCGCTAGATTTAAGAGTTAAACTATAAAAAGAAAGATAACTCTACAAAATGCTTGTGGATCCAGAAATTGTGCAAATCCAATATGGCTCTTCCTTTTTATTTCAGAATTGTCCACATGGTCGTCCAACGATGCGTCACCTATTTAACCTTCAGATGTTACCAAAAACTAAGAGAGACGCGGGAGAGACAAGAGACAGACACAGAGAGATAGACAGAGACAGGGGTTTAACGTACACTTGAAACAACCTGTCTTTTCAGGACTAACATGAATCAATTTTATATAAATAATGTGCTGGCTTGCTTGTAGGGGTCTTTATAGTAGTAGGATGAAATATGAAGACCTTGAGAAAACCGACGAGGGGTAGGACAGTTGATCCTACACCTTGTCATCCTCAATCTAAAAATTGAAACCATGCCTCCTGACTCAATGACAGATTGTATGATCTAAAGCGCACCGTCAGACTGTCTAACGCCCCATAAAACCTTAGAAAAGACTTTAATTTTATCTATTTTATTCCACACAGTTAACCCTTGTCAGTGGTGCAGGAAGGAGGGTCTGACAAGGACAGCTGGTACAAAAAAACCTAGGTCCTGTGTATACATTGGCAGTTGGAATTCAATGTAAGAGTTGGCTGTAGTGCCGCTGTTTGGGCAAAATATCCCTCATAGCACAGTGCATGGCGTATGCCCATCTTCATTAGCCCAGTCGGAGCAGAACATTAGGATATGAAACCCCATTTCATTTCATTTCTATATTTTATCTGTTGATTGTAAATTAGAAGCCAAATGTGTTCAGTTGTACAGAGATATGTATCTGTTATTTTAATTAGAATAAACAATTATATAAAATTATGTATCAATTTGTTACATTTACGTCTCAGACTACAATAAATTGTCTTACTTCTCTCTATTTCCTCTCGCCATTTTTGAATGACTTGTGTTTTGTTGAGGAAAAAGTTCCTTTGATAGGTGTACAGATGGGCAAATGTGCCATGGCGGAAGATTTGTCCGGACAGCCTTCACTTATTTTGAAACACAAATCCTGTTTCGTTTCGTTTTTTATAGTTCAAAATTTCGTTTTACATGTCTTCACTACGGTAGGATCTGGAAGAGTTATTATATAACCCGCGTTCTGGTTGATTTTAGGGATTAGCCATTGATACGGTTAAAGTGTGGGAGTTCTAGGTGTGCGATGTATGTATGGAACTGTAGGTAGACATTTGCAACGAAGACAAAGCACAAGTTGTATTTCCAAATAATCACTTGGGGAATCAAAGCTGAGTGATTGGTTAATCAAATGTCTGACATCATTGGTCAAAAGCCGCTCATATGACCCCTGACGTGACCTCCCACTACAACTGATAGTATCTATCATCCAGAAAAATATTCTTTTGAGAATAATAGGTCATTGGCTAGATTAATCAGTCTTTTTCATTATCATAAACAAAGTCTAAGGGAGATAACTGATCTTAAAACAATATGTTGGTGCCCATGAAATTAATTTAAGAATGCCATTTCAGAAATTCCATTTGATTGCATTGGCAGTTGAGTATCCAACACTCTTTAATTTTTTTTTATTGTAAAATTTCTCTCTTCATGGTCCATATTGTATGTTGGTTTTTTTTTAATCACGCTTCATGTTTGTTTATATTAATGGGATTTATTACGGGGAAGGGACGTAACTCTTACTTGACTTGGGTAAAGATACTGGATAATCAACCACATATAAAACCAAACTCCCGGTTGGTTATACATGGGCAGTGGAACTTTTTGTCAAATATTGACAACAGTCCCAGACCCTCCGTACATTGAAGACTAAGAGGTTCTGGGTGACCAAGACAATGGAGGCCATCGAAAGTATTTAAAGAAATATAGATCAGTTTGTAAATGACTATGATACTATTTTGAAAAATCACCACATTGATTTGATTACGTCACACCACATATGGTTCTATGTGATGGGACACAATTCTGTGTCAATAGATTACAATTTGGAACCATACTGGACTTAAAGATTCAACAGCCTGCCATGCACCTGTGCAGGCCCGTAACGTCACCCCCTCTGTGAAATTTTTTTCAACCATTAAAAAAATAGATATACATTGTCCGTCAATATTACAGCACCCCTGAGAACACTTCCCCCCCCCCCTCGTTGCTCTGAGCTAGTTACGGCCCTGCACCTGTGTGGTCCCAGATCCAGTTCACCTCTAGTTGTATTTTTTGTACAGTTACCCTGGATTTTCATATAACATAAAGTAAAACAAACAATACATATAAATTTTTCAGATTTTAATTATTTTTTTTCTAAGGTATTTACATCTTTTTTCTCACATTTTCTACACAAATGATATGAAATATTTGAAGATGAAATTGAAAGTAGAATAATTACATCATAACCCTATGTTATATATATTATATAGACAGATGAAATTGAAAGTAGATTAATTACATCATACCCTATATATACATGAAATCAAAAGTAGATTAATTACATCATACCCTATTATAGATGAAACTGAAAGTAGATTATTTATATCATACTCTCTGTGTAGACACATATCTTATAATATGTAGATGAAATTGAAAGTAGATATATTACAGTAATTTCATCATACTCTATTATAGATGAAATTGACAGTAGATTAATTACATCATACTCTCTGTGTAGACACATATCTTATAATATGAAGATGAAATTGAAAGTAGATTTATTACAGTAATTACATCATACTCTATTATAGATGAAATTGACAGTAGATTAATTACATCATACTCTCTGTGTAGACACATGTCTTATTATAATATGTAGATGAAATTGAAAGTAGTTTTATAACAGTAATTACATCATACCTTATTATAGATGAAATTGAAAGTAGATTAATTACATCATACTCTCTGTGTAAACACATATCTTATTATAATATGTAGATGAAATTGAAAGTAGTTTTATTACAGTAATTACATCATACCCTATTATATATGAAATTGAAAGTAGATTAATTACATCGTACTCTCTGTGTAAACACATATCTTATTATAATGTAGATATGATATTCATGAAATAACATGCAAAAATTCTTCTTTACAAACATTATCAACTCATTTTATTAAGAAATAATATTACAGAAATTTGAACAGAGACTCCTTAACAATAAATAAATGATGGTTTACAGTCTATCACAATATTGAAATATTAAAGAAAATCAACACATAATTCAAATCTTATTTTAGAATCCGTAATTAAATTCAAGTCTTATTTTAGAATCTTCAGATTGATTTTGTGAGAAAAATATGAATAACAAAAATAACAATAAATTTTGATGATGAATCAAGTTAAAGATGCATTATGTAAGAGCTAAATCTTCCTATTGCTGGTTGTTTTTCTGGTTTCAAATGTTATATAAACTATTATTTATACTTTTATTAACATGACAAGCCCATAATCAAGTCCGAATTCAATTTTAAGTAGATTAGACCGCGGCCATTTAAGAGTTTTACAATTAAATATATAATTGAGACTTAATCTTGATTGTTCAGTACAGATGCTACATCTTCAAACACTCATAACTTTGTTCAAACAAAAGTAATTTGACTGAAATTTTCAATATATTCATTTTTCATTATCTATTATTGAACTATTACAGAGAGAACTGTCAGCTCTTTATCTAATTCTTACATAATGCATCTTCAAAAGAAAGTCTAAACTAACAATCAGTTAATTCCTTGTTTGTTTAAAGATAGAAAGATGGTGCAAATTTTTAACAAGTGTAAATAAGTTAATTCAAAAACTTTTGTCACCTTAAATATGATTGGTTATTTTTGAATTTTGAGTTTGTTATCTTGTTAATCATTGGACGGCTAATATATTTCCTTGCAGATCAACCAATAAGATGTCTGCAGTTCGTTTTAATGATATCAGTTAAATTTCCCGATATTCGTTAATTTTTGGGATATGTCCATAATACTTAAACACTTCGATGATGTTTTTAGAATTTTTATATTTAACAATTTAAAATAAATAGATACAGTAAGCTTAATTAGGGATGCCATTTTATATTTAAATAAATTTGCAAAATCTTTAACAAAAAATATTTTCATTTTTCCTAATCAGAAAAAAATCGTTAGAATGGTAAGTAGTCTTGGTTAACAAACATAATCCCATGCATTTTTAACATACATTTGGGTCTGGTTTTCAAGACTACTAGTCTGTTACGAGCAGAATGAGAAAGTTCGACAATGAAATATTTTAAACTCTTTGGCAAATATATTCACAAATACGAAGTCTCCTAATATATATATCTATTTCAACCTACGATGAATTCAAATTGTACGATAATATTCTTACATCTAATAATATATAATAATATGTACAATTCAGTCATAAAAAACAATATTTACAAACAAAATTTATGCGGGATTTCAAGACAAAAATCTCTTCTTCTAAATCCCCACAATTCACTTTGTAACAGATTTTTAGAGTCCTCTGGTGGACTGAAGATGTTGTCGGATTCAAACTACCGCCCTATTTAGATATACTTTTTGATCGGTGTAGGACATGTGGCAGAGTATGCTTACTCTCAAGAACACCTTATACAACTTCTCATTCAAGTCCGAACAGCTAATGATTTCTGTTCCAGGGCCTTACTCCTCAAACGCGGATGATATGCTGAGACTGGTAGCCAAATCTCAATTCAAAAATTCTGTTGGACATTTCCATACCAGCCTCAGTTTCGTATACACATACAAACTATAACAACCTATTAATAATAATTATTATTATAAACTTTCGACCTAGCAGACACCATTTTAATAAATATCTTCACCCTTTTCAAATAATCTTATCAAAAGTTCATCATAATTTGACAACTTCAATTCAATCTCATAATAAAAAGATATTCACACTCAATATTCACTTCTGCTTTCTTAAACGTTAAATATCAAGTCTGTTCTCTTAATAAATTACTTAAACAATAAATTAGGCTTCTTCCTCTCATTTTGTTCATAAGTTAATGAGTATAATTATTCTCACGCTGAATAAAGTTTTATCTCTTCTCTCAGCTAAACACTGACGGACACATGTCGAACCATTCGTTCTCGGCAAAAATTAATTGACATCATAATCTTGACAAGATGTCTCTCATGGCGCGGATACTTCCATGTCCGATACGTAATTTCTTTCTTTCTCAATCTACTGGTCTCGATACATCTAATGCACAGAAACAAATCGTCACGTAGCACTGTTCTGTATGTACAATCTTCTACCTCCTGTATCTATAGCACTATTAGTTTATGGTATTGTCTATGCATGGATTTATTTTACACTGCATGAGGATCATCGGGCAGGTTTAGTCATTCCACTAATCAACTTGGAGCACCAGAAATAACACGGATCGGTAGATAGTCATAATCCTGCTTCCGATCTGAAAAACAATAATAAAAATATAATAAATTAAATATTTTGAACAAGAGTTGTCATCGTTCAAATTGCAGCACGTAAAGACCCATTGATAGTAACAATATTATTCTGTAGCGCCGCTGCCAGGGCAAAATAACACACTGCATGCCTGTCTTCATTAGTAAGTTTGGTGCAGGAAAGTTAAGATCTTAAACCCCTTTTCATTTCATTTCATCAAAAAAAAAGAGAAAACTTACTTGAGTGTCTTATGTCTTTGTTTGTCAAAACTGTTCTCTGGTGGCTCACATTCAAATGACGCTAATGATAACGCTGAAAAAACAAACAGAAATTAATGTAAAGAATTTTAGTTTTAAAGTAGGCCTATTAAGTACAAGTAATACATGTATTTTTAAAAATTTGTGATATGAAAATTTTTTAATCTTAAACTGCTCCAAAACCACCAGAACAGACTCATTATCTAAACTGAATGGTCAGCTTTGAATTGGACACAAGTACAATTTATATGAATTTTGGTGATTTTAAATGATATTTACAAATTTTTAAAAAAGGATTTGATATTAAATGAATGTGAAAGAAATTAGTGCTAAATACACAAGATTAAAAGATACCCCGGTTACAGTGAGATGTGTGGAGTGAACAACAGTCCTTTGATACAGAAATTTATTCCAATATTTGATGCCGTAGTATAAAGCCTAGGACAGACAAGCATATATTTTTTTCACCTGATCTCGCTTATCTAGCATGTTAGATATTTTCGGCTGATTATTTTACGTTGTCAATCGATTTGCCGGTAATGAATTATATCACTATTCTCTAACAGGTGTAGTCAATATTTACATGTAGGCTACCAAGTAATAAAGGATTAAAGAAATATAAAAAATCCATTTGAAAAGAAAGTTAACTTACTGGTTTCTGAGAATATTGGTGACGTTAATAAATAATGTAGAGCTTTGTTTTCTTTCTTAAACGGACACTGAAATATATAAATATATGCATTTTTATATCAAAGATAGGTTGCCAGGCAATGAAACTTTTACCCAAAGTCCAAGCTATACACAAAAGGCTGTAATAATTGTAATAATAATAATACGAACACTTAGAATAGCACTAGCATGCTCTATGTGATTCCTACACACAATGTAGGTAATGGGAGCATTTAAAAGATACTAGAGAATGAAGTAGCCTACTTCAAATTTTTACAAGGCACATAAAACTGATCAAGGGGGATAACTTTATAAAAAATATCAAATATGGAAGTAAATTTTGAGAACTGCACGGTTTGTGTGATTAGAGAGGAGAGAGAGAAATGGGGTTTAACGTCCACTTGACACAAACTAGGTCATTTCGGGACTAACATATGGTTCAATTTTAGTTCAATAATTCGCTTGCACGTAGGGGTCTTTAGCAGTGGGAGGAAACCAGAAGACTCAGAGAAAACCCACAAGGTTGGACAGTAGACCCTACTCCTTGTCATGTACAACTGGGGAATTGAAACCACGCCAGTTGACTCAATGACAGACCTTACGATACAACGTGCATGTGCTAACCATTCGGCCATCCAATCCCCCCTTGAATAATTAAAGCACTAGAATCGGAAACAGATAAAATCCTGGTGTGGGAAACTAAACCGTTCAAAATTTCATGTAGCGGGCAAGAAAATGTATCTAGAAATAAATAATGGCCGAGTATTTAAAAAATCCCTCAACTCAGTTTGAAGTCAACTTGAAATAAACTTACCTCCACTTGCTGCCATGCTATTAAATCAGAGATCTGTTTAGCCAATTGCCAAAATTTCTATAAATAAACAAATTTTTAATAAGTTAATATTTCAATGAGTTTACGGTAAAACACAATGACTAAAGTTAAATTTGTAGTTTAATGTGTAAAAAAAACACTCAAAAATAATTGAGATAATGCCAAAGATTATTATATTCTTTAAAAAGTATCTTGATTTAAACAAAATACCAACTTTTAAAGATGCATTATTCAAGAGCTGAGCTAAATCTGCCTATTGCAGGTCTTTCTTTAGGTCTTAAACTTTAATGTTATATAAATTATTAACTAGACATTTATACACATGACAAAGCCATAACCAACTCTCTATGCCATCTGATGGCTTTGATTTTAAGTAGATTAGAACGGTTTGGCTATTTAATGATTTAATTCAAAAATGAAGAAGCCAGGCCAAGTCTCGAATAACCAGTACTGTGGTTATGATAATAAACAATCAATGCACACCACACATCTTGTCAAAACTACAAACAGTGATAACTTCGCTCAAAGTAAAGTAATCTGGATGAAATTTTCAATATATTCATTTTGCATTATCTATTTTTAAACTATTATAGCAAGACCTGTCAGCTCTTTATCTAAATCTTGCATAATGCAGCTTTAAATTTCTAAGAATGGACATTACTCTACATAAACAAACGTCTGATAAAATCCACGATGGTAACACCCTATATCACAAAATGGAGAGGTTTTTTCTATTTTTTTTTTTTCAAGTAACTCACCTCAAAATTAATATGGCCTCCATCTATCTTGTTAGAACAGCCCTCATTGAGGAAATACAGATCTTTTACAAATAAACTGAAGAATGGTATTACAATCTGAAAATAACAAGTTACTTAAATTAGTCAAACCATTAACTTCATTGATAGGCATTTAGTAATTGACCATATTAACACAACATAACATTTTTATGGATACCCAATTACTGGATGTATTTCTAGGCTTGGGAAACTCTTGTCATATCAAGCAAATGATACAAATATACAGACTGATTGACAACATTTCATATTTTCATTGCTACGCAAAAAGTTTAGATTGAGGTAAATTTAATAGTGTTATGTGATTCCAATATTGTAATAGTCCTTTGAAAAAGGCAAGTCAACAAAAAAAGAGGTGAATAGCGAGATACTTAGAAAGAGAAATGGGATTTAACCTCCACTCCACACACGGTTCAATATCAGTTCAATAATTTGCTTGCACGTAGGGTTCTTTAGCTTTGGGAGGAAATCGGAGGACCCAGAGAAAACCCACAAGGTTGAACTGGCAACCCTACTTCATATCACGCCACTTGACCCAACCCCAACCCACAGTTTTATTTTCTTAATTGACATTTTTCGGTCTTACCTTTTCTCGGTCCTCAACTGCACCCTGAGATCTCCACATGGCAGCCTTTAAACACGATCGATAACAACCAAAATTATTCCATGGATTCATCTGATGCTGAAACACACAAAAAACGTAAAACTTGAAATAAAATGAAAAGTTAGGGTCTAACTCGAGTTCTGTTCAAACTACAATATTCATACTAAACTTACGCTGTCTTGTCTACAATCAGATCTGCTTGAGAAGAGACAATAAGTTAGTTGACCAACATTTTAAGTCCTAAATCAACAATTTTAGTCAAAAACACTAAGAATATTTCGAGAATTTTGAGAAGTATATTCTGCTTTTATTTAATAAACTTAAGAAGGTTTAATTAGTTGTTTTGTGTAGAACAGATGTGAACCGGAGTAGGGCCGCATTACAAAATAGTATTATACTAATTGTTGGATATGGCAGCCATTTAGGGCAGAGTTCTATTCTCAAAGAAGAGTAGATCTCGTAGGTTAAATAATCAATCTGAGTAGGCCTACCTATTAACATGGATTAAGCCGTGAAAAAAAATTTGATAAAATTGCTTGAAATTTCAAAACAATTAAATGCCATACCTCTAAAATATCGAATTTAACGGTGTTCACTTTGGCCCACGTTTTCTTCAATCGAGCCACTGGACTCAGATTCATGCCAGCTGAAAAAAAAAAATATCACAATTACAAAACCTGTCAACAGTTAAACCACAAATCCCATCACCAGTAAATACATTTAGTTTACTCCTACGCTACATTTCTTCTAAAGGTGCATCACTATAAGTCAGACCACATGCCATCAATAACAAATACCCTATGTGTACGGTTCATCAACTGAACAGTGCAACAACAAGCTGCTAACCTAGGCTAAGTGCGAAACCCTTATAACTAAACAAAACCCTACAAATTTTAATTACTTAATTTCAGTCTATTGATAAATATATATATATACAGTAGCACAACTATTAGACATATATTTATTAAAAACAAAAAGCCACATGAATAGACAAACAAGAAATAAACATAAAATAATCATATTTCTACACGTCATCTCTTACTTAGTATAAACCTACCTTTATTTAAATTACGGAAATATTTACTTAGAATACGAAACAATGCAGACATCTAAGAACATATTATATATGGGGTGATGAAAACCCATCTTGATCTTTCCCTTGGTCCAGAAGACTACCTGTCCTTGGAAGGGATTGGGATATAATTGTTACATTATATTACTTGATGTTAGAGACTGGTAAGGATTGGGATGTATTGTCATACTACTTGATGATAGAGACTAAACACAAAGTTATCTCCCCTTAGTAAGAATTAGAATGTAATTGTCATATTACTGGATAGCAGAAAATAAATAACTATTGGTCTGGGACTAATCAAATATTGACTTTGGCCTGGATCTCAATATGATAATTATAGTATCAACTTATCCAAAGGTAGTGTAGACCAAGGGTAAAAACCAAGATGGATGGAATGTGTTCTACGTCTAGGCCTACTCAGTGATATTATTAGTAAGTGAGGTGAAAAGCATCTTAACTACTGTAGTGATGTGTAGACTTAATATCTACATTAACTTATAATGGACCAATTATTTATTTATTAAATTAATATAATCTAATTAATACAAAGGAAATTTAACAGGAAACCAAATACCATTTCCAACCATTTCCAACATCAAAGAACTTTAATCGCATTCTTTAATATTTACATATCAAAACATTGAAGACACAAGCTCTGAAGTCCACAAAATAATGCTATAAGATCACCATCTTCAATTTTATTCCTTCCCCTAGCAAATCAAAGATTTGACCGTTTTTTTATTCCATGCCCAAATGACATAACTAACAACATTAATTGTCATATTATATGGATTAAACGAAAAAAGCAACCATTGAAAACCAAACATTCGTAAGATCCAATTCAACGGATTGAATCATCCAATCCAATTACAAATAGTCAAGTCCATAATAAGTCCCTTATATTTCGTAAGTGCACGGTGCAACCTGTTACCAAGGAAGTGCTTATAAATAAAGTGTTAATTAGTACCGCATGACCTGCACCAAATGTTGGGGTTAAAACCTACCTTAATACACTCCTATAGTTTACTCATAATTACTTTCGTACTTTTTTTTTTTTAAAGAAATGTTTGAAAGACATATGAACAAAATATCAGAATTCTCCACATGAAAATATTTAATAATGAGAGAGAGAGATGGATAAATGGGGTTTAAGGTCCACTTGACACAAACTATGTCATTTCGGGAGAGAGAGAGAGAAATGGGTTTTAAGGTCCACTCAACACAAACTAGGTTATTTCGGGACTAACACATGGTTCAATTATATTTCAATAATTCGCTTGCGTGTAGGTGTCTTTAGCAGTGGAAGGAAACCGGAGGACCGGGAGAAAACCCACAAGGTTGGACTGGCAACCCTACTCCTTGTCACGTACAACAAGCAATCGAAACCACGCCAGTTGACTCAATGACAGACCTTATGACACAGCGCACGTGCTAACCATTCGGCCAGCCAACCCCCGCCTATTTAGTAATGATAGTCATAATATTGTGAAATTGGCTAATACTGTGTATTGTGACAAATGACTTAATAACCTCCCAATGGAACTGGATAATCAAGACAATACTGTGTATTGTGACAATCACACACATTTTTTGAGTTTTCTTTTTTTTTTTAAAGTGTGAATTCTGATATTCTTTTTTTTTTAAAGTGTGAATTCTGATAATTCTGATATTCTTTTTTTTTTTAAAGTGTGAATTCTGATATTTTTACAAAGGAAAAGAAATAAAGCATAAAAAAAACATGAGAGAAATTCAAAAAAATTAATTTGGTAAACAAAACAAAAAAATAAATCTTCTCTTTCTTTACCAAATAATTTTTTGTAAAATGAAAAAGAATTAAGATATAAACAGATTTTAGGTAACTGAAAGGAAATATTAATGGATGAATTAATGAATTAATTCAATAGAAGCTCAAAATTACTTTGAAAATATTGGGTAATGAGAGATCGCCCAACTTTCCATGCCAGAATTACTTTGTAAATATCTTTAATTGGGTAATTATAATATATAATGATTCTGTTCATTTTCATGCTGTAGAAAATGTTTTTGGGGTTTTTTTTCTTCACAAAACTGTGCATCAAGTTCTGGAGGGTTTGAGGTGAGTCAGGTTTTTTTTTCAGATTTACCTTAATTTAGAGCTTCTGTACTTACCAATGAAATCTGCTACCCTGGGATTTTTCATTTAAATGAATTGTTCAAATTTTTCTCAGAATAAAAGGCAAATTTTTCTCAGAAAAAAAAAGGCAAATTTTTCTCAGAAAAAAAAGGCAAATTTCGCAGAAAAAAAAAGACAAATGTTATCAGAAAAATTCTGATAACTCAAATGTATATTGATAATATTTTTGTTATTTCTCAATTTTAGCAATGATCAAATCTGCCATTTGGAATGCTCCAAGGATAGCCACCTATGCATTAATAATAAATGGCTTTACTTTCGTATCCACAAATATGACCAGCGGTTTCATTTGACAAAATGTTTGAACAATTCATTTTAATTCCACGACCTTAATAAAGAGAATATTAGTTAGAAACTAAACATGTTAAAGAAGAGGAATAAACATGAGTTGCCAGGTAACGAAACTGTGTGATTATAAAATACAAATTAACTGAGGAACAAAGAGTAAAACAAGGAGTAAACAAATTACCTATAATGGCCATTAAAGAATTGAAGTTGCCGATGTTGATACATTCCTTTGCGACATCGATAAAATACTCAATCATCTTCACACGATTCTTCTTCTTCAGATGCTAAAAAATAAATTTAGGATAAATTAGTCAAAATAATTTTGAAACTAACATATATGGTAATTTCTTCTTCAGTTGCTAAAATATTTGCAATAAACAAGTTAAAGAAATTTGAACAGTACAGTGAGCAACGGTGGCTGAGTGGGTAAGACGCTTGCTGACTATTCTAAAGGATGATGTACAATCTGAAAATGTCAACAAAAACTTGAAATGAAATTTGAAGAAATACTTACTGAGGTAATTTCGGTTGCTACGAGGTAACTAAGTCTATTAAACCACTGAACATATGCTTCTAAATTACTTGTTTTCTTCATATCTCGGAATGTTGTCTGAAAAATACATTTGATATATTCTCTCGTAATTGTCATCCAATGATGATTATTTTTGATATCAAATATTTTTGCGGTTAGTTAGTATTGGGTACATAGCTAGCTGTGGTTAAAAGCATGTAGTCGAAACGTGATAGATATGTCAGGTAGGCTACCACGGCTAACATTGGAGCAATGCCAGTACCAAACTAAATAAGACCCACACCCCCTGCCCCCTGGTACCGATAGACTTCAATTCTATATACAGGCCAACGCTAGTATCATCTTAAACCGTCTTGCTTTCCACTATCAGGCTTCGAATTCTGCCCCAGCAAAATATAATCTTTAAACAAGAGTTATTTCCCTTTACTCACCTCTGTGTTCATTTCTTCTTTGGCAAACGCTTGAACAAATTCCTCTGGTCCGATCATACTTAATCGTTCCATTTCAATATGTGTTAATTGTTGTGCTAATACTAAAGGTGAAGGACAAACTTCAATAATGTCCGTCTGTTAATAGAAACAATAGAAATGTGTCATAAATTAGGCAGCCTATAGCACTGGTGGCCAATCATTCTTATTGGCATATTGTACCCCATTTCACAGAGGGATGAGAAGGGCAGTCTATAGTACTGGTGGCCAATCATTTGAAGTGGCACATTCCACCTCATTTCACAAAGGGATGAGGAGGGCAGTCTATATAGCACTTTCGGCCAATCATTCCAAGTGGCACATTGCAGTCTATACCATTGGTGGCCAATCATTCCAAGTGGCACATTGCACCTCATTTCACAAAGGGATGAGGAGGGCAGCCTATCGCACTGGTGGCCAACCATTCTTATTGGCACATTGCACCTCATTTCACAGAGGGATGTGGAGGGAAGTCTATAGCATTGGTGGTCAATCATTCCGGCAGCCTATAGCATTGATGGCCAACCATTTTTATTGGCACATTGCACCTCAAAATATTAATTATCCATGGCCAGTATAAACAAATTCTATATGAACCAGAAATTGTAATATTGTTTCAGATCTTCTGATTATATAAAATTCTCGGGTAATCCTCAGATCTCACGCCAAACTTGATACCCCTAAATTAATTGGCAGTGGTTTCCATTCGTGGGCTACTGAACACTGTTAATTTTATTACACCTGACAGTTTACATCACGACACGCACAGAGTTTCGTTGTGTCCGTGATTTTATGATTTAGCACAAAATTTGCTATTTTTCCGGCGTGCAAAATGACCTACGGGTCTGATCCAGATCTGGTCATTTTCCAGAGCCCTCGGTCCCGACCGGCATATACGGCCGACATGGAACCCATGCCCTAAACACACCCCTCTTATAATGTTGCATAGATAATATTTGACACAATGTAACAATATAATTATATAGAATATAAGTTACTTAAAGGTTTATTTCTGGCGACACATTTTGACAAGAATTTCACTAGAAATAAACTCTTAAGCAACTTTTCATTCAGTTACTAAATCCTGATTAAACAGTTAAACTTTCAGTTTGAAATGGAAATGATGTCTTGGAGAATAACTTACGGTTGGTACAACTTGTGCATGAGCACTCTGTAAAGCTTCTGAATTTAGTTTACTCAACATTTCTTCGTACTTTGATAATCTGGCAAGCTAAAAAAAATAAGAATTAAACAGACAATTAAACACAAAATCTAAAAATACTAAAGACAAGGTTTGGTAACCTGATATTGTCTGTCAAGTTAAAAATTGTTCAACAGATACCCGTGGGCCCTAGGTCAAGGCCCTACTATTGACTATTGGGGAAATCCAGCATTGGAAGAAACTATATTAAGGTTTACCAGAAATGAACACAATAATCGCATGAATCAATCGGTTTCTAATTAAAACAGTGTTACGACTGTAGACCCTTAATCGCATGAATCACTCAGTTTCGAATTAAGATATCCTTACGACTTTAGATCCTTAACCGCATGAATCACTCAGTTTCTAATTAAAATATCCTTACCACAGCAGACCCTTAACTGGTGATCTTAGATAAAACTTGAGCTCTGGAAGGCGTTTTAGCGGGGAAATACCATTGAGATGGCAAGATACTCGACATTTAGACACTTGATTTATCCTGCAGAAAGTAACCTTATTGATCTACAAAGGTTTGACCATCGACAATTTCCTTTAATGGGTGTGTGAAATGTACTGATTTCCTTGTAATTCAAATTAAATTGTGACTAGTATATTTAAAATAAATCTTCATAACATTCTAAAGGTGAAGCACTTGTCTTGCCAGAGAAAGAGAGAGAGAGATTGGGTTTAACTCAGCCATTTTGGGACTAACATATACAGTTCTATTTTATTCTCTTGTGCATAAAGGGTTTTAAGCAGTTATTATTTTCATCTAAATTTGAATTATTTTACTGGAGGCAAAAAAAAACCAGATTAAATCTCCTATAATCTTGAGAAAAGGGCGTTAACAGAATTTTTAAAATTATTTTCATTGAAATCTTAATTTCTTTACAAGAGGCATAAAAAAAAAACCCCAGCTTAAATCAGGTATAATCCTGAGAAAAGGGCGTTAACGGAATTTTTAAAATTAAGAAATGAAATATTGGTATAACCAGCTGTTCAAGTCCTTAAAATAAATTATATTTAATTTAACCAGCTTCATTCATTTCTCTAATAACTTCACACGCTTTTTTTATACTTTAATAACAAATACTCATAAACAGACAAAATTTAAATAGAGTTTTAATGTGGTTTAAGTTAGAAAATTGCTTTTTTAGAAGGAAAAGGGTCGGGCATCGTAACAATGCTTCCTGTGTCATAAGAACCTCACTAGTTGCCCTTTTTTGTAAGTCTGCAGGGCCGGTGTCAGATCACTTTGCAAGGCCAACTATTTACACTACTTCTCCGCCAAAAATATTGACAATTTCAATTTTCAAATAAAGATGTTTTGTAGAAAAGAACAATTCTTGAAACAGTTAAATTTATCTTAAATTGCAAGAATTAATAATAGATCAGCCTGTTTGACTGAATATAAGAGCCCAATATTTTGACAGTTAATCAACTGGTCTATTCCATATACACCAGAAACATCATTATAAATTCAGACAATGCCAATGAAATAACAAAAATAAAATATGTGATTTTAATCTACTGCATCAGCCACTATTCAAATGGCAAATTTACACCTTTTCAATCAACTACTGGTTCATGAAATGAAATGGAGTGTTGATGTCCTACTGTTCTGCTCCGACTGAGCTAATAAAGACGGGCATACGCCATACAGTGATCTATGACAGATATTTTCCCTGAACAGTCAAGGTATCTTTTACGTGCACGCCAATGTATACACGGGACCACGGTTATTCATTCTATCCAACCAACTAGACAGCTGTCTTTGTCAGGCCCTCCATCCTGGATCATTGACAAGGGGGAACCACACTGGAAAATCACTATGAATCAACTACAGTAACCAATCAAAAATTTGGCACAACGATCGTGTGGATAATGTAAAAACTTACCTTTATGACTAGGTTATGCATCATAGCGCTGACTTCCTTCCGTAATTCTGGGTAAATTACCAACATGCGATGTGTGATATCCTTGAGATGTGTCTTCATACGCTCATCACGGAAATCATAGGGAAATAGTTCCGTCCATTCACTCAATAAATTAACAATATGAGGTCCAAATTTACCCAGTGATCCCTGGAAAAGACAGACAACAATGAGATGAAATGTGTTTAACTAACACTACAGTCACGCTAAGACACATATTGCGTTTCAAGTTCTACGATACGATTCGTATCACGATTTATAACCAGGTCAATTTTTACCAAGAAAACAACAGGATAAAGGAATAATTGATATTTTCAGTCCAGCTGATCGGTGTTGTAGCACCTTACTCACTGGGTCACCATGGCTCCCATCATCATGACAACCAGTACATAATATCATTATTTTATGATAATTATTCATTTTTAAAAACTTATATCTAAATATGATTCATCATACCTTGTCGATTCTGTCTTGAGCAAGATTCTGTTGAAATATACACACCTGACAAAAAATAAAAAAACAAACATTGAAACAATAAAAAAACATGGATAACAAACAATAATAGTGCAACATTTCAATCAATCTGATTAAAATACAGATCTATATCTCGTTTCGTTTTTTTATACTTTCGATGGCCTACACTACATGAAGATCTGACCAGTTGTAGAGGAAAGTTGTGTCAAAGGTCATACGAGCAGCTTTTGACCCTATGACATCAGACATTTGGTTAACCAATCAGCGTTGATGTTTTTAGTGGGTTTACCCACAGTCCCATGCACCTCAGGCCAAAAACTCGCCATAACAGACTGTTTCATTGGCGAGAATTCACTCTACAAGATAATTATTGTCAAATATTGATGAAATAAATCTACAAATCTCATTAATTCCTAAATCACATTAGTTAATAATTGATCAAATCAGGTTAAAAAATCAACACATTTCTGGATTTAATCAAATGACAATGATGTTAGGATGTCAATTACAACCCTGAGAGCAGACATCAACTGTCAGAGATTACCACAGACAGGTTCTAAATAACTAATTACATCAACAACAGGGGAGAGGGTAAGCCCGTTCTCCGATCCCAATCAGATATCCTGAAGAAAAATATTGTTTTAAAAAACAAAAAGAACAATATGTTGTTTCAAATTTCTAATGTGAACTAAAAGGCTTTAGTTTTTGAATTTTAAATTATTTGTTACCCCTAATAAAATAAGGATCAGACGTTGGACTTTGTAAATCCTTAAATAAATAAACAGTCAGGTTCCTAATCTTCTGTTCATTTATTAAATACAAGTAGATGACCCCGAAACCCTTTAAATCCCTCTTATTAATTTACCAATAAAAGTTAAGGAGCTGGCTAGCCTCTTGATTTAATCATGTGATCAGTTATTCTAACATAGACTAATCAATCTTGCATCACTGACCACTACAACAAGTTTTAGCCACCTAGATAATCTACCCCCTTTTCAAAAATAACAATGAAAATAATCCCCCTTAATCCGACAAGTAATTAATCCTCATCTGTCATTCTGGATATCAAGGACTACTGTATCAATATTTCCACCTTCCAGTCCACTGGCATTTTAATCCCCTCTGTAGACATTATCTTCCTCGATCTTTTTTCACCTTGTCAAGTAGTTTTATTGTCAAAAATTGTTTTATTTTCAGATTTTGCTAATGGGTTTTTCAGGCACAGAGAAAATGGTTTTAACACCTTTAAAAACAACATGACTTTGAGTCAAGTATTTTTAGGTTCAAGGGTCAAGTAGTTTTAGCACACAATAAATAAATTTATTTCTGTTTCAAAGACTTGTAGTTTTAATGACACTTAGCTTTATGACTTGATTTTTAGTCAACAAACAATGAAAATATTCCATTTTTAAAAAAAGATTAATCAATATCCTTAAAGGGGCATTAGATAAAGAGCTGACATTATAATTGTTAAAAAATAGATAATGAAAACAGAATATGCTGAACATTTGAGTCATATTGCTTCACTCTGAACTGAGATATTAGCGATTCAATTTTAGGCTAGCCTCAATCGTCAAAGTCTTGATTATCCATGTTTACGTTTAATCATCTATTAATATGTATTCAAATCAGAAAATATCGCAGGCTAATGATGGCATCAAGAGTCGATTATGGTCTGAATAAGTTAATTAATGTCTAATTAATAATTTTGATAACATTTCAGGCCTAAAGAAAGACCTGCAATAAACAGATTAGCTCTTGCATAATGCATGTTTAAATGATTTTCTACAGAGAAGTAGTAACATTTTAATATGCTGATTCTAGAAAACAAGACGTAATCCTGTAAGTGATAGGAATACTACACGGTCAATAACTTGGAGAAATCCCAACAAGTTAACAGTTAAACATGACTTCAATCCACTCGATATGATAATCTCTTCCACGTTAAACAGTTCTCACAGAAAAAATGTCAAACTCCACAAAAGAATTCACCAGAGGGAAAAACAGCCCACTTATTAAATTTCAGTTAGAAAACTCATCAGACGAAAAATAGACACAACATTAACTAAATTATAGCTCATTTAGTCCCAGTATTTTATTTCAAACATCCTAAATATGTGAAAGGTCTCATCGAGGAAAAAACAGAACCGTCTAAATAAGGGAAACTTTAACTAAATTGTAGCTGATATATGTTAGTCGTGGTACTTTATTTCAAACATCCTAAATATGTGAAAGGTCTGTAAAGGAAAAAACAGAACCGTCTAAATAAGGGAAACCTTAACTAAATTGTAGCTGATATATGTTAGTCGTGGTACTTTATTTGAAACATCCTAAATATGTGAAAGGTCTCATAGAGGAAAAAACAGAACTGTCTAAATAAAGGAAACCTTAACGAAATTGTAGCTGGTATGTTAGTCGTGGTACTTTATTTCTAGCATCCTAAATATATGCGACAGGGTTCGTAGAATTTTCTAGCACCCTAAATATGCGACATAGTTCCTAGAATTTACCAAAGGAAACACCAGAACCATCTAAATAATAGGGAAACCTTAACAATATTGTACCTCATATGTTAGTCGGGGTACTTTATAAATTTCTAGCATCCTAAATATGCGACAGGTCTCGTAGAATGTAGGTCGTGTTTGAATATATCTTACCTGGCATATTTCGGCAAGTAAATTGTGTGGCCGTATAAACAATCTCGAACTCAACAGGAAGGCAAATATATACGTCCTCTGAAATATAATGACAAATATAAACACACAAATAAACATGGACGCCATAGTCGGGAGATCTCGCACGTAAAACCAATAAAAACAGATAAATTGTGGCAATCTTTGAGTTCTCCTAGAGTTTAACTGTTCGGATTTGGGATTCGAAGAGAAGGTTTTCTCATACTACTCATTAAATTGTTACAATCTTTGCGTTCTCCTAGAATACTTCGGATTTGGGTGTTGCAATATTTGCCTTCACCTAAACTTGCCTTTTCAATAAAAGGGTTTTGCCATAATTAATCAAATTTTACATAGCTGTATAAATAATCACAAAGTGTACAATGTGAATCTTCTGAACTAAAATGGAAGTGGTACTAAATGTTCTAGAAATAATAAGCATACCCTGCCCCGTGTACCACACCGAACATCACATTTATTTGTCACAATGGAGAAATACAAAAGTACAAATCAAATTTGTTCATTATGTGAACTTTTAAAATGTGAAGTGGTATAAGATGTTCTAGAAAGAGTAAGCATACTCTGGCCTGTGCATACTACACATAACTACCTTATACATGTAATAGCTAAACAGAGAACATTAAATACAATCCAAAATTTATAAACTATGTGATCTGTTCAAACAAGAAGTGGTATCAGCTGTTCTAGCAAGAACAGAGAAATATTAAAAATATATTAAAATTTATCTAAAAATCCCTGCTCAAAAGTAGAACAAAAACAGACTTTATGCAGAAACGAGACGATTTATTCATCTTCTTAACATTCAGGGTTAAAAGATCTTTTGTCGTGGGGGTTTGGATGGCCGAATGGTTAGCGTGTGCACATTGTATCATAAGGTCTTTCATTGAGTGGTTTCGATTCACTGGTTGTATGTGACAAGGGGTAGGGTCATCTGTCCAACCTTGTGGGTTTTCTTACAGGTCCTCCTGTTTCCTCCCACGGTAAAAAAGACCCTGATGCGCAAGCGAATAATTGAAAATTAAATTAAACCATATGTTAGTCCCAAAATGATCTAGTTTGTGTCGAGTAGACATTAAACCTCATTTCTCTCTCCCTCCCTTTATTGTTTCATATATTAAAATTGTACTTACGTCAGGGTAATAATCAGAAGTTGGTACGATATGCTGTATTAACGCCTCCAGAGAGCCAGACGATAGATTTCCATCTTGAAATATCAGGGTCTGCAAAGATCGAGCCAAAAATAATTTAACGTCATATTCTACGTCAATATCGACATCCATGATGCTACGTTTTAAAGGTTTCTTCATTTTCATTTTTAAAATTTCAATAAAAATCTACACACAATCCTAAAATCGTCTGCTAATGTTTGTAAAAGTCTTGATGTTTGTCGAGAATTATTTGCAGACAAAACTAATGTTTCTGCAAGCACACAAGTCTTTAAATAAATCTCCAGAAAAATTGAAACAGAAATCCAAAGTCTGTCATAAAGTATCTGCCAGAAAACGCTTGTTTTTAATTAAACATATCCAGATTTCTGCCCATATTGTGTAAATGTTTGAGATCCTATTAGAACCTGCTCCACCACTAACTGAATGTCAACTGTTGTTCTGTTAGTGAAGTCCCAGTATTTATAGAATGAAGTTAAGGGGATTAATGTTCAGAATCACACAACCTTTGTTGTCTTATTAGTGGCAATAAGGCACTAATTATCTCTTAAACACCTTCAATGACTTGAAGATCAATAGCAAGCTAGCAGTCATCCACGACATTTAGAATTATCACTAGTTGTCAATATTGCTCACACTTCATAAATTGTTTTCTGATATTTCTTTTAAAAAGTGGAATTCATAAATGACTTAAAGATCAATCTCAAGCTCTAGCAGTCATTTGATATTTCGCTAAGAACTGCAATTCAACTGACATTTTCTGACGTGATCATTTGAATTCAGAAATAATCATCGTTCTTCTCAAAATTAAAATATTGTTTAGGTTCCTTTCAACTCTTTCAATCACTTCACTTAAAATTAAACTACTCTGAAAATTGTTTCCGCTTTTATCCAGAAATTTTAGCGTTGAGAACTAAAAGAAAAAACGTCGTTATCCGATTACTGTTCAAAACTAATGACCAAGCAGAGGAAGTTTCCCAGAACAAAACCAGCGAAAAGATTTACACGCGGTCAATAATCGTTTCCAAAAGGGAAACAGTAACACCATCTTGTCAACATGGACTGCGGCCAAGATTTATACTTATGTCAATGGTAGCCATATTAGCGATTTCCAGGGGACATACATCGAAAGCCATGATCCAACATTGAAGTTAGATTTTCGTTGGTAAATTTGTTATTTGCGGCCTTCCGTTACAGTTGGTCATTATCAGACCCAAACACCCCCGGATCAACGTTTGGTCTAACCTCGAAACATTCTTGAAACTTTTCCAAAACAAACGGTAGGTTTTGTCGAATAAACAAAATTTAACTAAAGTTCTCGCCGTTCTTGCCATATTGGGGTTGAATTGGTCGATATGGACAGCTTATTTCACGATTCTGGCAACAGTTTCAGTACAAATACAAAAAACCCGTTTATTTATCAATAGTGCAAATTATTCAAGCTAGGCAGGTGAGACAAATGATAGATTTATCCAAATTTTAAACATTTTTCTTCACAACACAACAAATTTTTCGCCAATTTTCTAAATCTCAAACACGACCATAGATTTTACTTTAACAGCAGGTGATTCCTGATGAGGTAGGGACCTTTAGGAAAGCATCACAAGTTAGAATTAAGGAATCAAAACAGAATTCATAAAGTTTATTTGCAATAGAAAATTAAATGAAATTGGGTTTAAAGTCCTAAGTTACTGCACCGATTGTCTTAGCAGTAAATTTTTGGGGGGATTTTAAATTTTGTATGGTAAACTTTGGATAGGAAAAAATAAGAAATTATGAACACATCAACATTCAAAACAGCAAGAATTCAATTGCCAGGATTTACTCAGAATGACACTATGAAGCAAGAATTTATGGCAAGATGACAAAAGATTTCTCCAGATTAACACTATGGATATAATCATAGTACCATTTAGGCCATAGAAGTTTGTATTTTTGTTTTTCAGGAACATCTATCAAATTTTGTTTCCTATTTCTTCAGAGAAAAAATACTTTTAAAAGAGCTAAATCGCTAATATTTGGGACATAGAAATTGACACAAATGGGTCGCAACGTATATAATAATGTAATGTGAATGTATATAAACTGATTTGCATTCAATCGTTTCTGTTTTTACTGCAATTTCTAATCAGTTATGTTCGGCGAAATACACCAGGAGTCTCAATCCAATGACAATCACTAGCGTCTGGTTATTCCACTCTATACTGATTTATTGCGCATGCTCTCCAGATGAGAATATGACGTCACCGTTTGACATGACTTGTGGAATATATCTAGCCTCTTTCTACGGGTCCCTTGTTAAAAATGGCGCTGAAATGCACCATGGTACACGATGGTAAAATGTTTATTTTGTCTTAATTATTGGATATCAGAAGCTCATCTTTTCCCCGTAAGATCACAACATCAATGTTGATTTGAATTGACAAATAATTTGTGTTTTCAATGTCGAAGATTTTGGATGATATTGAGTTAGAGACTTATAGCTACTTTAAATATACTCTAATTCTCAAACGCTTTTAGAAATTTTAAACAAGAAAACCATTGTTCACGAGACTCAATGTGGTTATTTATTATTCTTAAACATCGATGAATTAGAATATGAATTGGTATGGCCTCAATGCTTCATCTGGGCTATGCTATAATGAATGAAGTTCCTTATCTTCATGGCATAATAAAAATAAAAGACATTCATTGATAACCATGGCGGATATAAATCAGGGTAGATAAAAGAAGCCACTTGTTTTGGCGCCAACTACCTAGTAAAAGAAGTCAAGGTTATAAGACAGGTCTACATACAAGAGTCGGCTATGTGATAAACACTAGCTATTACGCCTGGTGAATATTAATCAACATTATTACATCCTCTGACAGTATCTTCACCATCTTAATCAAAATTTAATGATACAATCCAAAAATAATATGTCCTAAATTTATTATGTGGTAACATATATCATTTTTACAGAAGTGTATCAAAGTTGCTATATTTGTACATTTTCATGGGTATAGAGTGTATTAGAAAAAACTTATTGGTCTCTGTTAATAGGTAATGCCCTGTTTTTAACTATGACTGAAAATGGGGTCTAGTTGGTTTTTATCATAATTTCAAAATTTTATTAAAACAAATACTTTTTATCATAATTTTAAAAAATGGTTTTTATCATAATTTCAATATTTTATTTCAAAAAATGCTTTTTATCATAATTTCAATATTTTATTTCAAATTTTTATATTTAAATATTTTGAATTGTTTCTCATCCACTTCGTTATGAGATTTCTAGGAGGAAATCTATCAATTGTTATCAAGCGTCACCAAATTAATACTTCTTAAACTAATCCTAAATACATATTTGTATCAGAAGCTTATTTATTCTCTAATCAGTATCAGCAAGGATATTCCCAAGATCCGAGATATTCCTTACTAAAATAAACCTAAACAGCTTATGTACCTTCAATATCACAATATTTAAACAGATACAAAGTTACTTAAAACGATTTTTCTTCAAAAAATAAAATGCTTGATTAAATAATTTCATGTTTCAAGATAGAATCAAATTAAAAACGTCCTCAACAAAGTTACTGGATTATATAATTTCATATTTGAAGACGGAATTAAATTAAATATGTCCTCAGCAAAATAATTTTGGATGTACCTAATAAAAATATATTCTTAAAAAAAAAATAACGTTTGTATTACATAATATCATACTAGAAGACAGAAATAAGTAAAAATATATTTTTCAACAAAATTACATTCTTTAAAAATTCGCAATTATCGCCCTTTTTCTTTGAAAAAATAATACATTTAGATCTTTGTTTATTATTTTGTTCCCAGATGGACAGCATAAAATAAGGTGGTCATTATATTGATCAAAATTATAGGTTTGTTTTGCACTGGTGTTAAATAAATACAAACAGATATTGTCATCAAGATTATCCAGTTCCTAATATAATAAACCAGTGTTAAAACATAGTAAAAGAACAGACAGACATTGTGATCAAGATTGTCCAGTTCCTAATAAACTTGTGGTAGAACATACAGACTACAGAGCAACATTGTTTGAACCTCGTATATAATAGAACCATTGTACCCAGTAGATCAAAGGTAATTAATCAATCCATTCTTTGTAGTTGTTATTTTATTTTATAATCCACCATAAGGAAAATTAAATTATTAATCCTGATTCAATCTGTCTAGCTAGTTTATTAATCTTTAATCTGTTATAATCTGTTAATCAGTGAACGAAAAGAAGTGTAATGGTGTATTTGTGATCTTAGATAATCGTTTTGAAAACTAATCAGGACTACAACCCTCCCTTCCCATTGATTGTGTGCATGGCAGCATGACAAACAGTTTATATACAGAGGTAAAAGCCATGGCTGCACCAACCTGGTAAAGAATTAAATACAGAATACTTACATCAATATCTTCTAGGTGATCTAGGTGGCGATCGTAGCCGTTACCAGCTAGATCAAACATCTGAGATAAACTCAACATTTGGGGGCCAACGCTCTTCTGAAAAAAAAGAAAAAAAATTCCATTAAAAACAGGTAGTTGTGTAAATATATAAGAGGTGTTATTTGGTGTTCTAGACGGAACAAGTCCACCCTCTTCCATGATACCTGTAATTAAGAGATAGTCCTATAGGTGGAACAATATCATCAACTCCATCTAGAGTAGTCTCATGATTTCCAGCCAGCTTTAAGTTGCCGTCATGAGCGGTTTATTGCTGTCACACGGGGGAATGGATGGACAAATGGTTAGCGTCTGCGTGCTGCACCATAAGGTCTGTCACTGTGTCAACTGGCGAGGTTTCAATTCCTCGGTTGCACGTGACAAGGAATAGGGTCGCCTGTCCAACCTCGTGGGTTTTTTCCAGGTCCTCCCACTGCTCAAGACCCCTACGCGAAGCGAATTATTGCAATAAAATTGAACCATATGTTAGTCCCGAAATGACAGATGTTAAACCTTATTTCTCTCTCTCTCTCTCTGCTGTCACACACTAACTATCCACAAGAAGAGAATGGAGAAGAGAATGCAAGCTGCGACTAGATCCAGTATGAGGTAAAACTTCAACTTCTGACACAAACTGTTCCGAGCAGTAAGGATTGCAACAATTGCTCCTAGCTGAAGTAGAAATCTCATTTAGCTGCTATAGATATTGCTCTTAGTGGCCATTTGGCCAATGCAGCAGCTGTATATATATATATACTGATCATCAATGTCCTAATGATGATAACCATGCAATTTACTGAATTTAAACTTAGTCCAACCACTATAAGTTCTGTCATTCCTGGAAGTGATCCACAAATGCCAAATGCAATCTCCTATAAGTCCTTGTATTAACCAATCCCACAGCTTAACTGTGAATATGATGTGTTTCTATCAAGTGTGAAACCATTGAATGCCGAAAAATTTCGACCTGTTTGAAACAAATCCTTACTTATTATAAAACCTCCATACAAAACTCTTGAAACAAAGTTATAATTATAAATGTATTATGATGAAATCCATAAAAAGAAAACCTGACGAAGAATATTCTCAAGGAAAGGAAAGTCCAGATTAACAAACGCAACATACCATCCACATTGCAAATGGCTTCATCTTGTATTGGCTAAAAACTTTCCCTCGAAACTTTAAAATCCAACTGTCGATTACACAAGGAGTCATTAGCTCTTATAAGATACGATAAACTACGGAAGTTTTGGAGGTCATATGAAACTGAGTTGTAAGCTATTCATATATGGTTTTCCTGTAGTGGTTTACGCCCACTTGATCATAATTGAATCTCGTGACCAGAAATAATGACATAATTATTACATAATTCAAATTCTGGGAAATCTTAAGCAATGAAATGAAATCAGATCCATAACTGAATTTACATTAATGAGAATTTTACCATGGCAGCACCCTTTTTCTTGCTATTTAATTCTGGAATTACAATTTGTTACTTTTTCGTCTGATTGACAATACACAATTATTCTCTCAATGGAAATTGCCACTCGACGTAAAATAGGTAATTTCAGGACTAACATATTGTTCAATTTTATTTCTATAATAGGCATGCCTGTACAGGTCTTTAGCAGTGAGAGGAAACCGGAGGACCCGGAGAAAACCCACGAGGTTGGAATACTGAAAAGCAATTTCATAAAGCAGTGTTGAGGATATATTATGTCATTTATGAGTATATCAATAGTAAGAGGTTCAGTTTGATTTAAGAGAGGGGGGTTTGATGGCTGTATGGTTAGTGTGAGTGCGCTGTATCATAAAGTCTGTCATTGAGTCGACTGGCGTGGTTTCAAATCCCCGGTTATACGTGGCAAGGAGTAGGGTCACCTGTCCAACCTCGTGGGTTTTCTCCGGATCCTCCGGTTTCCTACCACTGCTAAAGACCCCTACGTGCAAGCGAAAATTATATAAATAAAATTAAACCATATGTTAGTCTCGAAATGACCTAGTTTGTGTCGAGTGGACGTTAAACCCCATTTCTCTCTCTCTTGATTTAAGAGGGTTTGGATACCACGAAAGCATTAATCTTATCTAAAGATTTGACATTTCAAAATATTAAAAACATGGATTATAATGAATCAATTGACAAGAAAAATTACGTATTAGGAAATCAATAGAAAAATTTTGAATGGTTATTTTTGTGTTGTTATGTTGTAATTATTCAACTGGTACTTGAGATTGTTAAAAAAACAGGAAATATTAATGGAAATAACCGTCACAAGACTCCACTTTCGTTACCAACAATTACAAACGTTTGAAAAACCCACTCAAATCTATTGAGGATGTTTTTCGTCACTTAAATTTTCGATTGCCCATATCAGATTTCCATATACCGGTATGTCTTTTATTATAGAACAAACTAAATATAGTCGGTCTCCGCAGAAATTTTTAGTATTACTATTTTTAAAAGTTTCGCACTAAGTGTGGCGTCCATATCATTTGCGTATATATCAGAGACTCAGATTACCATATATTACGTCTTTTATTAGACGATAAAAATATAGTCGGTGGTAGTATTGTAGTATGTGCTGTTGACATTGTTTGCGTATATCGGAAACTCAAATTTCTATATATTATTACGTCTTTTATTAGACAAATAAAATATAGTCGGTCACCGCAGAAATTTCTAGTATTATTTTTCTTTAAAAAAAGATTTCTAATTTCAAACTGTGTTGGCGTAAATATAGTCCTAGTATTACTTTAGGTTAGAGTTCTAGTTTTATATATCTGTGGTTCAAATTTCCACATATTGAGGATACCATGCTGAAAGATCCTGGAGCACTTTCTTGGCAAACACCACAGGTCTCAGAATCAAAACAACCCAAACATTAATATCTTTCTCCACACAAGTCTCGCTATACAACATTCAAACTACAAGGGAAGACAACTCTGTTTGGAAGATTGCATTAATATTTCTATCATGTCATCCACCATTGTTTTATTATTAGTTGTTCGGATGGGACAAAAAAAACAAAGTACCATGTTCACATTGGCGTGCACATAAAAGAACCCCTGACAACTGGAATTTGAGGTAAGAGTAGGACGTAGTGCCGCTGTTGGGGCAAAATTTCCCTCATTGCCCTGTCAGTGCAGAACAGTAGGACGTTAAATCCCATTTCATTTCATCTCATCTCATCCACTATTGTTGTTATTATAATTATACATTAATAAAAACCATGTGTGTCGACAGATTCTAGGCTCTGTGCCAGAGTTTGACTTTCTATAAGAATATTTGGGTTATTATTTTTGGCACCAAATAAATGAGTTATCCCTCCCACGTAATTAGGCATGGAATTAGTGTCAGACAAGACATCAAAAAACAACAGACCCATTGAGAAGAAAAGCAGGTTACACAAAGATGGTAAGAACCAGATTAGAGTAGCTGGTCGTTATTTTACAGACGTTAAAGCATATTCAAATTTGGTCGTCATTATTGAACAATCGACCAGACATAGGTAGACACCAGTTGTTAATAGTTGGAGGAAACCGGACCACCCAGAGAAAACCCTCAAGGTAATGCAGGTGACTAAATAGATAGAACTCAAAGCAATGACCATTGAATACCGCTCGGGTTATTCAATGGTTCAAGAGAGTGTATCCCTGCGCAAGTATTCCACTTGCACCATGCAGTGTGTTATGAGGGACATTTTTCCCTGACAGCAGCACTCTGGCAAAATTCCAACTGACATGGGTACTTTTATGTGCAGACCAATGTGTACACAAGACATAATCAGTTTTTCATCCCATCCGAATGACTAGACACTGAAAACTAAGGAGGAAAATCCTGAGGAACCTTCTAGACCAACACCAGGATTGAACCACGGACCTCCTGGTTAGCAAGCCACTGTAGCTCTAACTAAATAGAGAGAGACAGAGAGAGAAATGGGGTTTAACATCCACTCGACACAAACTAGGTCATTTCAGGACTAACATATGGTTTAATTTTATTTCAATAATTCGCTTGCGCGTTGGGGTCTTTAGCAGTGGGAGGAAACCGGAGGACCCGGAGAAAACCCACGCGGTTGGACAGACGACCCTACTCCTTGTCACGTACAACTGGGGATTCGAAACCACGTCGGTTGTCTCAATGACAGGCCGTATGATACAGCACGCACGTGCTAACCTTTCGGCCATCCAACCCCCCTAACTAAATAAAAGCAGACAGTAGACTTTACACAGAAATTACATAACTTCATTAAAAAAATACTTTTAAATTGTAATAATATCCTGTCCATATATCTTTCTATGTTTTCAGAATGTTAGTAATCTTTTTTTGTAAATAAATCTGTCAACAACGTGCACTTGATAATACTACATACTTCCTGGCCAATCTGTCGAGATCAAAGAAAAGCTTGAACAATTCAAGTAGATAGTGTTACAAATGTTATCTAATCGAACAACTTGCTTTTAATATCAACACACCACATTTTGATTTAATCCTCTTACCTTGGTTGGCATATTTCCTTTTAACAACCAACAAATGTTTGTTTCTCTGTGGCATGAAGTTCTGCCAATATTGACCCGACTGTACATTAATTACATTCCAAGAGAAAGACTTGAAGTTATTGCGAGGCCCGATCGACCACCCAGGTCTCGTTAAACAAACATGCAACGAGTTCCTTTAAACACTGACATTGTCTTGTTACTAAATAAAGACTTGAAATACTCCCTCAATTACACAATATAATTTCCACTAGTTTATTCAATACCCACTGTATGGCCTGATCCCAAAAACATGAATTCAGTCCCCTCAGATATTGATTGACAACAGAGAGGGAGAGAGAGAGAGAGAGAGAGGGAGGGAGAGGGGGGAGATGAAATGAAGATGAAGAGAGAGAGAGAGAGAGAGAGAGAGAGAGAAAGAGAGAGAGAGAGAGAACAGGTCTCATGAAGATGAAGAGAGAGAGAGAGAGAGCGAGAGAGAGAGAGAGAGAGAGAGAGAGAGAGAGAGAGTGATGGTTTTTAACATCCATTAAACTCAAACTTAGTCATATCAGGATAAACAA